TTGGGGTGAGTGTTGATTGTTGGTTTTGGGGTGTTTGTCGGTTTGGGTCTGAAATTTGTTGAGGTGCTGATGTTGAATATGTTGACGTGATATGGTCAAAGCTTGTTGAGGTTGACGATCTCAGTGAAGTCTTCGGCGAGTGTGCTGACTTTGGCGGTGCCGTTGGGGTATAGTTCAATGATTTTGAAAGGTCCTTGCCAGTTGGTGTGGAGTTTTCGGCCAAGTTTGCCGATGGGTCCTCGGTACCAGAGAACATGGTCGTCGACGCTGTATTTGGGAATGTTATGCTGGGATGCTTGTCGGTCGTGCCGAGCTTTTCTCTGTTTTTGGATGGCGTGAAGTGTCCAAAGGGCATTTAGTCGGAGTTCGTCGAGATGTTCGAGTTGCTGAAGCCTTTCTCGAACTGCATGTCGGGTATCAAGATTATACTTGACGGTGACTCGCATGCTTGGGACGATGAATTCAATTGGTGTGATGGCTTCTGTTCCAAAGGCGAGTTTGAATGGCGTCATGTCAGTGGTGACTTTATACGCAGTGCGATAGGCCCAAAGTACGTCGAGAAGTTTGTCGTCCCAGTCTTTGCCGGAATCGTTGATGACTTTTTTGAGGATGGTCTTCAGTGTTTTGTTCGTTGCTTCTGCTTGACCGTTGCCTTGAGGATAGTATGGTGTTGACGTTTTATGTCGGAGTTTGAACTCGGTGGCGAGATGTTCGATTGTTTGGTTGATGAAGTGGGTGCCTCTATCGGTGACGAGTTCAAGTGGTGTGCCGAAACGAGTGATGATATTTTCGTAGATGAAGGTTGCTGTTGCTTTTGCTGTGGCATGTTGGAGAGGTATTGCTTCGGCCCACTTGGTAGTGTAATCGGTGGCAACGATGATGTACTGATTTCATCGACGGGTGCTGACTTGGGGTCCGACGAAGTCGAGTCCCCATTTCTGAAATGGTGCCATTGGGAATGTTGGGTTGAGTTGTTGAGTCTGAGTTTTCGGTGGTAATCGGTATCTTTGACATGTGTCGCAGCATTTGCAGAATTCTTCAGTGTCGTGCCAGAGTGTCGGCCACCAGAGGCCGGCTTGAAGAATCTTCCGAGTGGTTGTGTCAGCAGCGAAGTGTCCGCCGGAAGGTCCATCATGAGCTTCCTTGATGATTTGAGTTGTGTGTGGCTGCTTGATGCATCGGCAAAGAATGTTGTCAATTCCGAGTTTGTAGAGAGTGCCTCCAATGATTGAGTATCGTCGGGTTTTAGCAACAAAAGTCTTCTTTTGGTCGGACGTAGTGTACTGATCTGGAACTTTTGCTGAGTTGAGGTAACTGAAGACGTCATCGAGCTAGGTTGCTGGTATTGAAACTCGGAATAGGTTTGAGTCGGGTAAGTCGTCGGTAAGTATTTCGGGTTTGTCGCCGGTGGTGATCCGGCTGAGATAATCTGCTTGTTCATGATTTTTGCCGGGTTTGTGGACAATCTCGAAGTTGTATTCTTGTAGTAAAAGGAACCATCTTGATATTCGACCAGATAGTATTGGCTTGTTGATGAGGTAAAGGATTCCCTTGTGGTCGACGAAAATTACGACTTTAATTGACAGTATGTAGTGTCGAAACTTCTGAAGTGAGTAGATCATGCCGAGAGCTTCTTTCTCGGTGGTGGTGTAATTTCGTTCAGCTGAGTTGAGTAGTCGGCTGGCGTAGTAGATCGGTTGATCTCAGTTGTCGTGTTGAGTTTGGCTCAGAATTGCACCAGTGGCGACGTCGGAAGTGTCGACATGAATGTGGAACTCTTGGGTCCAATCGGGCTTGGCAAGGATCGGTGCTGTTGTTAGTTTGAGTCGGAGATTATCGAATGCTTGTTGCTGTTCGGACGTCCATGTCCATTGGGCATTTTGTTTTAGTCCATCCGCTAATATTAGTATACGGCATCGTAGCCGTACACTTGGCCCTCACAGTTCTAAAATATTCACTCGCATCTTAATGGGCCATAAATCGCCAACCCACATGGCATAAATTATTCTTCTTTATATCATGTTGTAATTCAAATAAAAAATTTTAAGGATAACTTTTAAGCAAAATCAAACAAGATAAACTGCCCTCCACTTGGAGGCAAATGCAAAGATATCCACTCATGAACTTCCGTTGATCCATGAAACGAACAATTTCCTTCCAAAGTAGATTGGTCAAAGAAGATTCCAAACCGTTTAAAAGCACTCCCGGCTTGATCGCCTCGATCTCACCCTTCAGTTTCTAGCTCGAGTACTTTGGATTTGCTCGCACGGCATCGCCATTTTGAGGCGCTTGTGGCCAGATCAAGAATCTGCTGCTCTCGGCGGATCCACGCAACCGGCGTTGCATGCACAGCACAAATCAGGGGCTCTACTTCCCACCCTTCACAATTGGAAAGGTATTCTTATTCCTCTTCTTATTCTTAATCTTCTTAATTTTGCTCAGCTCGCACAGTTTTCCTGTTGTAAGGTTCTCCCGGTATCGAGAGTGATTTCTTCAGACAATGTGGACTACAAAGCTGGGGATATCGTGACGTGCTTGGTGAATACTCGCTCGCTGTTGCGAGGCGGGAAAGATGGATTTTGTCCACTCAAGAGGATGGATGCGTTCCATTGGAAAATTATCTCTCCTTTCTGGTTATAGAATGCATTGACAATGTCACGAGAACTATGATACACGATCCAGGCATCCCCGGATTCACTGCTTGGATTAATCATCCCCTAATTGGGATTCGAGCGTGGCTATTGAGATGGTTGAGGGTGGCTTCCAGCATCTTGCCACCAACATTGTCGAAGTAGACGTCAGTCAACAGCCTAGAACTATATAGAAGCACTCAAGAAACTTGAGAATGGACAAGAAGATGTTCGGTTACCTTAGCATTCCAGTCCTTTCTTGTAATTGAACGAGAAAGTCAAAATCTGAGAGAGACAGACAAACACACAGAGACAGAAACGTAGCACTGAAAGTCTGGACAGTGAAACCTCGCCTTCTCGTCAGTGCCTACAACCTCAACAGCCTCGTGTTTTCGCAATTAGACACAGTGAAACCTTACCTTCTCGTCAGTGCCTTCGTGTTTTCGCAATTAGACCCGCGGCAAGCCCTGGAGAATTTGGAGAAGCTGGTGTCAAGTCGTCATCTTAAAAAAGTTGCTTCCACTGCAAGATTGTCTCCAAGCATAATGTATTGTCCCTGTTTTACTTATAAACGCATGAAAAGAGCTTAATATAATAATAATTATAATAAACCAAATTTGAAAACACAAAAGTGAATATATATAGTTGCTTTCTATGGATCTACGAGAGCTTTACCAATGTTTTCCCCTCGCATCATTCCAATAAACGCCAAGGGGAAGTTCTCAATACCTTTGGTGATGGTGTGCTTTGAGACAATCTTGGATTCGGCAACCAATGGAAGCATCTCACTCACAAACTCATCGTAGTGAGTAATGTGATCATACGCAAGAAATCCCTCCATTTTAGCACACCTCCCAACGAGGTTCATCAAGTTCCTCACACCATCGGCAAGCTTCCAGTCCTACACGAAAATAAAGACCAACGAACTAAACAGAGAGAACACAAAGTGGTGTCGTCACCTTGTTATACTGTGAAATCATCCCGCTAATTGGGATTCGAGCGTGGAGATTGAGATGGTTGAGGGCGGCTTCCAGCATCTTGCCACCAACATTCTCAAAGTAGATGTCAATCCCATTTGGAAACATCCTACACAATTTATAAAAACACTATGAGAATGAATCCAAAGACAAGAAGGTGTTTGTTTACCGTGCCAAGGTAGCGTTCCAGTCCTTCTCCTTTTTGTAGTTGAACGCATCATCAAATCCAAACTCCTCCTTGAGAAATCGGACCTGTCAATCAAGAAAATCAAAGTCTTAGTTAAAACCAGCCAATCCATCCAGATTTGCTTACCTTCTCGTCAGTGCTGACGCTTCCCACCACTCGGCAGCCTCGCATTTTGGCAATCTGGCCCGCGGCAAGCCCGACGCCGCCCGACGCGGCTGAGACAAAAACTTGCTCGCCAGATTTGGCCTCTCCAATCCGGACGATTCCAATCCAAGCAGTGAATCCGGGCAAGCCTGGATCGTATCATAGTTCTCGCGAGATTGTCAGTGCAAGAGCGCCTTCTGATCATATACTCACCCAGAAAGGAGAGATAGTTTTCCAATGGAACGTTCGGATCGATCTTCTTGAGCGGAAATCCAGCTCCATCTTTCCCGCCGCGAATCAGCGAGTATTCACTCGCGGTGGCCAAGCAGGTCAAGAAATCTCCGGCTTTATAGTCCGCATTGTCCGAGGAGATTACTCTCGACACCGAGAGGACAGGAACAGGCTGAGAACAACAAAAAGGGATAGAATCTCTCAAACTTCCCAAACCCTCTAGAAATCTTCCTCGAAGTGGAATTCATAGAAATCAAATCACGAGGAGAAAGAATACCTTTCCAATGCTGAAGGGCGGGAAGTAGAGCCCCTGATTTGTGCTGTGCATGCAAAGCCGGTTCCATGGATCCAGCGAGAGCAGCACATTCTTGATCAAAACATCGCCACTCCCGGCTTGAATCGCCTCGATCTCGCCCTCGCTCACCTCAAAGTTCTCATCACTCAGCTCCTCACTCGAGTACTTTACGAGGAGGATTTGCTTGCACGGCGTCGCCATTGAGAGACTCTTGTCGCCAGGAAAACTCCGAGTGATGGCCGGACCTAAGCACGATCAATCAGGTTAGAGACAAATTTTGTGTTTTCTTGCGGTTTGGAATCTAGTTTGACGAAGGAGGGGACATTCTTTTGTTCGGTCAGATTGTTCGTTTTGCGGGTCAACGGGTTCCAAGCTCGAATCTCTTCGTTGTGAAGTAAGTGGCCATGGAATCTGGAAGTTCATGATTGAGCACCATAGCTTTTAAGCTGTCGATATATTGAATATATATCTGCGCATTTGCCTCAAGTTATCTGTGTGGCAGCCTATCTTGTTTGCTTGGTGTGTGGAGATCGAGAATGGCGGTGGAGCAGAGGAAGAGCGCGGCGGTGATTTGGGCATTTGCATTTGCGATGGTTTTGATGATTGGAGCGGTGGCTGCTAAAGGAGGTGATGGGCATGGAACTGGAGGGCGGCCCCAAACTGGTAAATCTTCCAAGAGCACTGCTGTTGCTGCTGCGAAACTCATGCCGCAAGATATGATTCTTGGTTTCCTGGGTTTGATGTTTAGCTGGGTCTGGATGTAACTTTGGATATATCTTTGGATTTCAATTGGCCTTTTTAAAAACAGCTCGCTCAGAGTTATAAGACAATTTTTCTTTAATCAAGTCTTAACCATCTTAGGCTGATTCACGCCTCCTCTGTAGCTCCAGCAAAAATCCCTGCCATACATAAGTAGCTTGAGATGTTCTTTGGAGCTTCTAAGCAATAGGTGACAAGAGCAACTAGAAAGAAACTCCCAAACATGAGATTGTTTTTGTGGCTTGACCCAGCAGTTGCGATTTCAAACAAAAACAAGCTGTAAACTTGATATACAATGATGAAAAAACTAATTGAATCTGAGAAGATATCAAGAGAACTTCCCGATGCGATATTCACTATTTGAAACATTTGACGAATATACCATTTTATATAAAATTATATATTGTGGCTAAAAGGTTCTTTTTATAAATGCAAGGAAGAATCCAGAGTCCTTTTTAGCGACAGATGGAGTCTTATGCAATGGTGACGATGGTCATGATCGCCCTAGCCAATTGCACGGTCGAATAGTGAATGGCATGGAACTGATTGTCTATGGGGAAGTGCATTGCAGCAGATCACGTTTTTGTCAATCTAAAAACCGAGCTAAAATATCTTTTTATGGATATGATCTTGGATTTCGCTTAGAATTATAAGACAATTAAGTCTTAAACATCTTAGGCAGAATTATTGATTGATGCAAAGAGTTATAAAGCATTAGAGATTTGTGAAACACAAAAAACTTTTTGGGATTGGTTGAAGATGATGAACTCCCTGCTAGTTAGACTTCTTCAAATCTAATGAATCACTAAACTGATTCTTCCAGGAAATCTTAAGCCTCATCTGTATCTCATTAACAAAAAATAGAAACCAGGTATTGTATTTGATATTTATTAATATATAATTACATATTTTTAAAACTAACTTCATGAATATTCATGATGCCCTAAAGTTGGATTTTAGACCGGACACATCCTGGGCTGGAGCATCGGTCCACATTAAAGCGATCATGGCCATCATCCATGAGAATATCAATTCATGGAGTTAAGATTTGAGAAAATCTTTATTTTGATAAATAGCAAAATCTTAACAATCCAAAAAAACTATAAATCGATTTCTGAATATTATTTATGTACAGAAAAAGCCCCATATTTCACAATTACCACTGGTAATTTACCAGTCTCGGAGGAGTTTTGCACCCCTCCATTTTATGTTGGCTAGGTTACTATTTGCAAAACACGTACAACCCGTGAATCTTCCTGATAGTAAATACCATAACCATATATGTTCCATCTTATGGCATTGTTTGAGTTGCACAGCTCCTTGTCCCTCCTGTCAAATACGGTAAAAGTGGCAGTCTTACCGTTCCATTTAGCCGTGCACCAAAACCAAGTATCCCATCTCATTTGGAATTCCCAGCGCGTGAAAGCATTGTCGTGTAGAACAATAGGGTCACACAAGAGATTCATGTCACTGCCACACCAGTTCACAACAAACACCTGAAAGTCTTGGTAGAAATTTTTTCCTGCAGCAATCATAACCATGGGTTGTAGAAGAGCTATATAGAATCAAAACTAAGAATGCCAATACTCTGCTCCTTGACATGATCATAGCTGTGATCTCATTGCTTGTATTAAATCAAAATTGCCAATATTTTGCTTCTCATGATCATGATTGGGTCTCTGTTTATAAGGATAAAACCATAGCATTGTTTAGATTTGAGAAAGACAATGGTAGAGAAAGCTATTCTGGCTTTCTTCTGTTTTTTTGGAACTTGGGAAAAAGGCCTTTTCTTTGTCTTGATAAAATAAGAAATTAATTATTATTAGTATCCTTTAGCGTTTATAAACAGGACTGTAAATCATACTTAATTATATGTAAAGTTAGTCACATTTAAACAAACCAGTTCCAGTTTGAATTGCGCTAGGGCTTTGGGAAATGGTGGGGTCTTGTGGCGGCAACTATGCCGCCACTGCGACGCTCTTTCGCGGCGTGCGATTCTTCCTGTCCGGCTTCGATCGCGCCGAGGAGTGCCAGGTGAGTGAGATTTTTGGCGACCGCCACGATTTCTCGCCCCGCCGCTGTGGTGCAGTTCATCGATGCCCTGGAGCAGCATGGAGCGAGCAATGCAGGCCAATACTCGAGCTCTTGCAGCCATGTCATCGTTTCGCAGCATACCTATGTAGGCATTTTATCATTCCATCTCTATGATTCATCCATCGCGCTTGGCAGGACGATCCGATTTGTGCTGCTGCTAGAAAAGATGGGAAGGTTCTTGTTACCAAGAGCTGGGTCCTGGACTCTCTGGAGCAATGCGAGTTAAAGAATGCAAACAGCGTAAGTTTTTCTTCGTCATTCGCTGCCTTGTGGTCTCTAAAAAATCTTCTCACGTTGCGTAGGTTCTTTACATGCCCGTCAGGGATCTGGCTGGGATCCCAGGTGCTAAGAAAGTCTGCGTTTGTTTGACTGGATACCAAAGCGCGTCTCGGCGAGAGATTGAGGTGGAGTTCTTTGTTCTTTGTGCACGGGCATGAAACACTTCTCTTGTCCTTTTGATTTAACAGGCAATGGTAGCTATGATGGGCGCATCTTTCACTAAACCGTTAGATGCTAGGAAGGTGACTCACCTGGTCTGCTACAAGTTTGAAGGTGAAACGTTTCTAGCGTTTTGTCACTTAATCTAACTTCTGCGTTCGTAACCAGGTGACAAGTACGAGCTTGCGGAGCATATGAAATTAAAGCTTGTGAACCATCGCTGGCTTGAGGACTGGTAAGCTCGGCGATATTAGTCTGCCTGTGCATATAACTTTCTGGTAGTAACTTTCTGTAGTTTAAGGACGTGGTCCTTAGTGGACGAGGCGAATTACAGGATAAGGTGGGGCATTGTGGAAGCTTTATTATGGGGCAACTAATTTGAGTGCTACTGCAGTGCCCACGACCTGGAAATTGCTGAGGCACAAGCTAAAGACGCTCAAGTTTCTGAGCAACCAAACGAGACGAATGCTGCACCTCCCGAAATCGCTCCGGATCCACCTGACGTCGATTCAGAGGCTACAACGCAACTGTGTGAGGCTGAAGACGACTGCGTTGTGGAGGGTGAAAACGTCACCAGTAAGTTCATGGGCTCACCTATGGATACCGGCAACGACAGTGCTACTAAACAAAGGGTGATGGATACCGTCAACGACAGTGCTGCTAAACTAGCAGAGCAAAGGGTGATGGATACCGGCAACGACCGTGCTACTAAATCAGCAGAGCACAGGGTGATGCCGAGTAATGCAAGGAACGAGTCGCTGTCAGGAGGGGAAAGCGAATCTCCTAGTTTGAAGAAGAGGAAAAGTTTTGAGGCGTCCAGTGACCATAAAAAAACTGGCGAGGATTCAATCAGGAAGAGAGGCAGGCCTTTAAGTAGTCTTTCGCCGCGGCCTCGTCACTCGGACCGGACTATGGATGGCCAGAGTCCTGATGCAGTGAAACAGTCCCCGTCAAAAAGCAGTAACGGTATGAATCTGTCTCTCTTGGTCTTTTCCAACGTCGAGAAATGTTAATGCAGGATCAGGCAAAAGGATCTACATTGAGCCGGAGAGAAGCTCATTTCACTCCAAGTCAGGTACACATTTGCTGGCGTAAATTTTCTCGCTGACGGAATGTAACTTCAGGATCGGCTGCCAAAAAAAGTGGCAAACACAATGCAGCGGGTATGGGCATGGACAACAAAAAGGAGGGGAGCTTCAAAAGCCGGAGGCTGACCAGAAGCGGTTCGAAGGACAGTATCACGGACGCAAACGGACATGAAACTCGAAGAAAGTCCTTATCGGGATCAGCTGAGAAACTAACTAGCAAGGACGATGCAGTGGAGTCGAAGCATCAGCCTGCAAACGAGCCCAAGGCACAGAAGCAAACGGACGTCATAAATCTTGATGATGAGGAAGAGAAAAAAGATGAAGCTGCAAAAGAAGCTGCCGAAGTACCTGTAAAGCGGGGAAGAGGACGACCGAAGAAGTCGAAGCCGATAATCCCAGAAACAACAAAAGACTATCGGTTCGCTTTGAGTGGACATACCGAGGAGAAGAGGAAGCACAGGCTTGTCATTCGGAGCCTCCACGGCCACCTCTGCAGGGACGACCACATCTGGAAAGAGCAGACGACTCACTGCGTGATGGGCTCGCCGCTTCGGCGAACCGAAAAACTCTTCGCTGCTCTGGCTTCCGGACGGTACGTTGGTATACTCGATTCTCCCGGCTTTCTAACCTCACTCTTCCAGATGGATACTCAAGTTCGACTATCTGGAAGCTTGTGCAAAGGCCAGGAGATTCGTCGACGAGGAACCATACGAGTGGTTCGAGCCAGGAGATGCAAAAGACGGAACGATCGACCTGAGAGCTCCAAGGAAATGGCGGCTGTCTAAGCAGGAAACCGGCTGTGGTGCCTTCGAAGGACTGAGAGTGATCGTGTATGGAGAATGCATTCTTCCCTCCTTGGTAAGAGCCTTCCTTTCTTTTCTAGTTCCTTGGTTCTTAGCTTTGATCGTCAGGGTACTCTCAAACGCGCCATCAAGGCCGGAGGAGGAGCTGTGGTGGCGGTGGAGCCACCATACACAATTCCTCTAGCAACCGGGGTGGACTTCGCGATCGTCGGGCTGGGAATCCCCGAGAACGATCCACGCGTGGTGGAGATCCTCAAGCGCAAGGTGGCGTGCGTGAGGGACGAGTTCTTCGTGGAGTTCGTGTGCAATCCATCCGCGAGCTGGGAGAAGCACGTCCTCTTCAGCACCGAGGCCGCGGTGGAGAAAGCTCTCGCCAAGCTCGCCACCATCAAGTCATACTCATCGCACAAGCAGTCAGGAGGAGGAGAAGAGGATGATGGTGGCGGAGGAGCAGCGGCGGCGGTCGTGGCGGAGGAAGAAATGGATCGAGCTTGCAACGTTTGCGGTCGCAAAGATAGCGAAGAAGTGATGCTCTTCTGCGATGGAGACGATTGCGAGGTTGCGACGCATACGTTTTGCCTGGAGCCGCCGCTGGACAAAGTTCCAGCGGGAGACTGGTACTGTGCTCGTTGTTCTTCCTAAAAATGTGTTAAAAAAATGATAGTCCTCTCAAGAACCCTAATATTTGAATGTTTTAACAATGTTTTAACAGCAAGAACCCTAATTTTTTATCGCCAAGTATGTGGATCACGCGCTTCTTGTCTGTGCTAGGGTTCTTGGCGCTGGGCCTGGCGCTCTCGCCGCTTGGGGATCATCTCCGTGGCTGGGCGGCGGGCAAGAATGCGGCAGCTGGAGGCGGAGCTCTGGCGGTGCGAATGGTGCATCTCCTGGGATTTGCCACGGCGTGGGGGACGTCGCTCTGGGTGACTTTCATTGGCGGGATTATCATGTTTAAGTGAGTGCCTCGATTCTTTCTCGCTTTCTGGCTAGGAATTCTCTGACTGGAAAAAAACTTCTTTTGGATTCAAAGGCATCTTCCAAGGCACCAGTTTGGGAATCTCCAGTCGAAGCTCTTCCCCGTCTACTTCGAATTGCTAGCGGTGTGTTCCACTGCGTGTATTGGAGCGTTTTCTCTGCTACACCCTTGGGGATCGAGCACCAGTGCCGAGAAGATGCAGCTCGGAGCTCTCGTTTTCTCGCTGGTGGGGACGCTTCTCAACCTACTAGTCTTCGAGCCCATGACAATCAAGGTAACCAAAAGTCATCCATCTCAAGAGCTTTTTTTTCTCATCTCTCTTTGAAACAAACCTGTGCAGACAATGAAGGAGAGGCACAAGATCGAGAGAGAAGAATCGATCGGAGAAGAAGTTGGACTCTCCAAGAACAAGGAGGCGGCCAAGCGCAACCCGGCCCTTGCCAAGATCAACAAGAAGTTTGGCATGGTTCACGGCCTGTCCTCTTTGGCGAATCTCTTCTGTTTCGGAGGATTCGCCGTCCACTCCTGGTATCTGGCAGGAAAGTTGGCCCTGTGACAAGTTTTATCAGCATTGGTAGACAACGCCAAGATAGAAACCAACAGGCAAGGCATTTTTGCATCTCTCCTTTATCGTAAATAACGTAAGAAGGTTATGAAAGCAATCCAGGCTCATTTCTGGATTGCAATTGAATCAAACCACTCTGTCCTTCCTTACAGTGTTAACAGGAGCTTGTTGCTATTCTACTGATGCTAGAACTATCCGTGGACGATCTCCTCTCGCGCCGAAGTAGCAACATTCGTTGGCGGGTTTTCTCGGCTCTCTTGGTCACGTAGACGTAGCTCCCTGCTACTCCAAATACCACTCCCACGATCACTATCAAAGCTATCCCTGCCCTGACCACTCCTCCATTGATGGTGGCACGGCTGACACTGACGCCAGGCACTGGAGATGGAGCCGGGGACCTCTCGTGCTCGTCACTGTCTTCTTCTCCCAGTGTTGCGGGAGGCTTGACGATCGATGGCGCTTGTGCTTGCAAAGATGGGGCCGGGGACCTCTCGTGGTCTTCGTCCTCGTCCCTCTCATGATCGTCATCGTCTTCTTCTAGCAGCGCTGCGGGTGGCTTGACGATCGAGAACTCGGATGGTGCTTGTGCTTGCGGAGCTGGAGAGAGAGAGACCTGGAGACGACGACTGGAGCGTTGCTGAGCGCTACACAGCTGCAACCTTGAGAACACCATCGCCACCACCACCGCCACGACTACAATCTTCCTGCATTCTATCCGAGCCATTGCAGATCTCTCTCGATTTGCGTGTCTGGCCTGAAATACGCATGGAGTTCCGCGTTGCCGGCCAAACAGCTAGGATTGCTCTCCCGGACGGCGATTCCTACACGGATGTGCTGAAAACTTCTCGTTTGACTTGGTATGACTTAAGTCTTTGGTAGGTTCTCGAAGATTAGCTATACACAGGGCAGCCATCCACAACAATCCCAGGCTGCGTGGGACACTTTGCCAGAGGGCAGTGATCGCGATCCGAGGTCCCCCACCAGGTGAGCGAGACGTCCTCGAGGCCGAGGCTGAAGTAGAGCACCACGGCCATGAAGGCCGAGCCGGCGTCCAGCGCCGCGGACAGCACGTAGTTGTAGCGCTTCCACCACGCCTTGCGGTACTTGTAGACGAAATAGTTGAAGACGACGCCGAGTGTGATCCAGGTCGTGTAGTTCACCGACGTCGCGGGTGGCATGTACCCGGTGGCTCCCAGGATCACGGGGATGTTCACGTAGCGCAGGAACTCCACCTTGGGGAGCGCTCGCGAGAGGATCCAGACGGGAATTGGAGCCAGGATGCCGATGAGGAAAAACCAGCTCAGCTGGCTGTACTCGCCCAGGGAGCCGAAGATCCGCTTGGGACCGACAAGGCCCCAGATGACTGATGCGTCGAAGAAGACGCGATCGCTGGGGCACGTCCAGGGGCTGCTCGCCGGGAGCTTCTCGGTGTCACAGATGTTGTCGATCCCGTTTAGCAGCCACCATGCCACTCCCATGTTGACGGTGGCCGCAATGATCGTTCCTACAATCTGGGAAGCATGAAGATATCTTAGACCTTTGAAATTGATCAATGGTGGTCTGGGTGCTTTACCTGGACGGTGAACATCGATCGTGGTGGGATCTTCATGTAGTGGCCGAGCTTAAAGTCGGAAAGAAACGAGAGCGCTTGGGTCATGCTCATGTACCCATACGTCTTGAAGACAACGTTGGCGATGGGCTTCCCCGGAAGCATGTAACCCACGATATACTCGGTGATGATGTTTAGTCCCGGAGTCTGTGACCACAGTGAAGTAAGAAAGCAAACAAAAAGAGAGCTACAAAGCCAAAAGTGATGGAGTACTCACGATGTTGGTGGTGGCAGTGATAACTCCAACTGGGAGCGTGAAAGTTGCGGCAATGGCGCAGGAGAGAATCACACCCCACCACGGGAGCTGGATTTGCTCCTTAAAGCCCAAGCAAGTCGCGATGGCTACACCCAGCGAAACCAACATGAGAATCACAAACCACAAGTTGGGGATTGTTGGGTATCGCTGCATCATTCGCGCATGAACATCGGGTGGAGACTTGAGTGCGGACCGGCTCATCCTCCAAATGTCCCTATGCGCAAAGTCGAGTTTAGTGCGAGAAAAGGTGGCAAGAAACTGTGTAAAAGTTACGAGAAAAAAAAGCTTACTTTCCGTGGAAGCAGAGGACGTGGGTGATGGTTGACGCTACGGCCGCGAAGCCAAACCCGTACGTCATGGCGAAGAATGTGCTCATGTGGATGGGACCTTGCCGCTGGTATTCCGCCATGTCCAGCTCGAACTTATCATTCACCACCTTTTGTATGTCGTAGATCTGGCCCTTGGACGTAAACAGATGGCTGGAGAAGATCGGAAAGGTCTTGGCGTTGTAGATGTTGGCCCAATAGAAGGTTGGCATCATCACGTAGGCGATGAGGATGTAGCCCACGGCGACGTTGGCGATGGCGAAGAATGGAGAGACGAGAGGACTTCCGAGGTAAGAGGAGGCCGAAGCCCAGTCGAGGCCGATGGCGCCGAGTCCGAGCCCCTGGAAGCCCGACCCGAGCTGCTGTGCCAGGACCGAGTTGGGGAAGGCCCAGCAAACCCAGGAGATGGAGGAGAGGACGCTGAAGAGGTAGCCCGGGAGTGCGTAGTACGCGAAGCCGACGGTGAGGAAGATGAGGAAGAACTGGATCCTCGTCAGGCCCTTGACGCTCTCCTTGTCGTGTAAAGTCCTGTCAAATGGGTCATGGTCAAGATTAGAATCGATCACGCGAGAGATATGATCTTGGGTCAAGAGTTGCGAGAAAGTCCAAGAACTTGGGGACCAAATGGAGAGTAAACGATGGAGACTAAAGGAGCTAAGCTATGGACTTACTTGAAAAGAGAGACTTGCACGAGGTTCCCGGGCCACCACATACTCGCAGGCTCCACCAGATACTTTCGCAAAAGACCAGCCCATCCATAGCCCAAGACCTCAAGCAGTCAAATCAATCACTTGCAACTTAGCTTCTTCGAGGAAAACAAGGAAGAGAAAGCGAGAAAGAAAAGCTTGATTTGTTACCTGAGTGGTGATCACCAGCAAGAGCCCAGTGTAGAAATGGATCTTCCTCTTGTAGAAAGCTTTGATGATGTCGACGATGAAGACCGCGTAAGCCCCTCCATTCCCAAACGCGGAGCCAGCATTGGCGAAGATGGTGATAAGGACGTGCTCCTTCTTGTTGAAGGGCCCCGGATTGAGCGAGAACTCGAAGCCCGTGAAGGGGACGCGGTAGATCCTGGTGGGCAGCACCGCGGCCATGAAGCGGCCGATTGGCAGCGCCACGATCTGGGCCGAGGTGAGCGTGATCACCAGCGGCTCCGTGCGGTAGGAGAAGAACTGGTTGAGGAAGGAGAGCATTGCGCACGCAAGGATGCCAATCGCCCACATCCGGAACGTCCACACTGGCTGCGAGGGATCGTCCTCCACATCCACCGTGAGCGCCACTTGCTCAATTGGCGATTGCTCCTCTTTCGAATCGCCATGGAACTCTTCCTCTTGCTCACCTCGCTTGCCCGCCTCCATGTCGGTCGCCATAGCGGCTCTCTTCTTTTTCTCACTGGCTTGCCCCTCCAAGAAGCATGGAAGGAGAAAGAAAACTGGAAGAAATCTAGACTTTAGGAGAGCACGCAAAAGGAGACCGCCTATAAATATTTCCAGCACTTTGGCTCTTAAAATGGATCATGTGTTCCTTGTTTGGATTAAAATTGCCAACCATGGCAATGATTTTTACACATATGACGGCATTGTTAAATGATTCTTTTTCAAAGTTGTTTTCCCACTCGCACGCGGAGAATTGAATGCAACGTTGAACTTAGTGTAAATCAGTACTATAAAGGTTTTACGATATTCTAATCAGCACACGTTTAGATCGATCGATTCTTTGATATCTGACTAGTCTTTATCCGGAAAAACAATATTTGCTTTCGATGAGAAAATGCGAGAAAGGGATTTATCAGATTCTCGCGACTTTTCCACCAGATTATTCATGTTTTCATGTCGGAAATGACGAGATTAGCACTGCAAAGTGTCGAGGACAAGTTAATCGAAACTCGTAAAGAACACTTGACTTACCACGATCACGCACTGGTAATAATGCGCTGCTTGAGCTCTTCTGGTAACTTGTTCTGGGACTGCGCAAAGGAACCTCACGAGTTAAAAGCCACGTAGAGATTTAGAGATGGATTTTTCACGTACCTGGAAATGACGCATGAAGAGTATGGGAGCACATCCAAGTTGGGTCATGGATTGGCCACCGACGTCCCTTTTCATGTGCTTGATCTCGTGCGCAGATAGAAAATCTTCCTTGTGCGTCCCAGCTAGCGCACAAACTCGTAGTAGCGCATCTAGCGAATTCATCTACACCGAGAGACGTAGAGAGTTAAAAACGCAGCGAGATAAAAGCAAAGCTTTTACCTTCATGTATGGACAGGAAGCACATCCTCCACTTGGTGAGCATCCTTCGCCAGAGGAAACGCCTGGGACAATTGTGAAGGCCGAAGAGCTGAGAGAATTATCCGTGGAAGACGTTGTCACAGCATCGGAGGACACGGGAAAAACGATCTCCACTTCTATGCTTGCACTCTTGCCAGCCGATTTGTCACCCTTGAGGATGTGTTGCACGGCTGCAGCTATAGCAGTTATCATTCCGGACTCCGTTCCCAATACAAACTGGAGACGATCGTCAAAATCGCGTTCCACTGCTTCCTGGACCCGGACCCGGATGAAGTCCAGAATGTTTTGCGTCGATCCTACAATTCCCATTCCCCTTCTTTTCGCTTCCATTGCAAGAGTAAACATTTCCCCTGGAACCTCGAAGTGTGCTGTGAGATAGGCATCGCCGTAACCTTCCCGGACCCGGCTCACAACATCCTTTCCAAACATATCGTGCACGATACACGAACCATCCTGCCACGGTGCCAGTGTCAAAAAACTAATAAAGGCAATGAGCTGCGACTCGGGGCACCTGGAAGTAGTGAAAACGCGGCAGGAGGGAGGCTATTGTTTGCTTGTTGTGCAAAGGATGGACTGCTGCAATGTCATCGTCCTCCATAGCTGCAAGTTGTTGAAACAATACCGCAAGATTGGCACCCATGTAGGAATCAGGACCATACCACACAGTTAGATCGGGTATTTCAGCGAATGCCTGTTACGACAAAAGTGAGTTATCAGACAAAGCAAGAAAAGACAAACCTGTAGTACTGTCTGGACAACGTTGGACGAAGTGCACGTAATAGTTGGAACCAAAGAATGAGATCGAGCTTTTGTTTCTAGAGACGTGTTGATGTAGATGACATGCAGAGCTGGAGCCTTTACACTGCGATTTTCTAAATAGTCTGTGTAAGACGAGCTCTCTGCCGCTTCAGCAAGTGAGCATCCTATTCTTTCCTTGGACATTCGATAAACACGAACCTATAGTACCACACATTAATAACACTAACAACAAAAAAGAAAAGAAACAAACCTTTTCGTAGCCAGCCTGATCCAAGATTGCTCTTGCATTCTCGGACATAAAGTCCACACCAAGCACAGCAATGGCCTGACAGCCTTGGTCAGCCATCTTAACTGCGCGATCCGCCATGACGAGCGAGTCTGATATGTGGATGTGAGGCCATAGCTTCTGAGCAGCAACCAAAACACCCTGAACTTCGGGGTCCATGTAAAAATGTGCCACGACTCCGATGCGCTTCTTCCTGAGATAATCTGCAAGAAGCTGAACCTTAGTTGCGTCTGGCAACAGATACTTCGCCTAAGTAACAAGAAGGAAAAAAAAAAGAGAGACATGAGAACGATATAGAAAGATCTAAGTTTTATCTTTCTCGTGCCTACCTGCGCGATCGCAAAGCTTCCTTCCGGCTTGAATCCATCGGCAGTGATGACCAGCGAAGGAAAGGGATCAAACGTACGCTTTCCCTCGCGCCGAGCGAGCAAATGCCTCACGCGCTTCTGTAAAGCAAGGAGCACATTATACCATGTGTTGGATCGCGACGACGAACCACTCAATCCCATGGTTGCCAGGTCCAGCGACAGCCCCACAATCTCTTCCGCCAGTGCGCCATCGAGAGCCTCCCGGAGAACTGCACAGAATCCCCGAGTCAGCTCGGCATCACTGTCAGCTCCAAAGTGCACGGCGGCAGCGCCACTGGAATCATCATCTAGACTCGCCGTCAGCCAAACCTGTGCAGTGCAGCCCATGACCCTGTTCTCCGCCACGCGCTCCTCGTCCCCGAGCCGCGGCAGCCGCGCGGCCCGATCAAGCAGATACTGGATCCGTGCGCGAGGAGACTCCCCTGCTTGCGCCACGCCGAGCAAGGATCGCTCAACCCTAGCCGCGAGCGATGGATTATCGCTGCTACCGCGCGATTTACCTTCCTGTTCCAAGATCGTGGACGCGCGAGCGCTCTTGATCCTGATCCTGCCGCCGCAGCGATATTTCGAGCTCACCGGCTCGGGATTGTGGCGCTGGAATGGAAAAGAGAGCGCGCCATCGCGGAGGGAGAACGCGGCCGCCATAGCTTGGCAAAATTAGGGCTCTTGGAAAAGATAAATGTAAAAGAGGGAAAATACATTCAAGCGCCATTACCATTCCCAGAGGCGTCCGCCGCCGCCGCCTCCGCCGCCTCTTTGCGCTTGGCATCCATCTCCGCTTGGATTTGGGCCTCCACATCGGCGATGTTGACGAGCTTGTGCTCGTTAAATGCTGCGCCCTCGGAGAGGAGGAATTTGAAGACGTCCTCGCCCTCGATGCCCTTTGTTCTCGCGAGATAGAGCGGCGTGAGGCCATACTTGTCTTCCCGGTTGATCTTGCCGCCGAATTGGACGAGCAGGCCTTGGATCGATCAAGGAGTAGCAAAAGAAGTGGGAGAAGAAGAAGAAGAAGAAGACCATGGAAGGATACGGACAATGGGTAAGCTTCCAGCTCTGGCCGCCCAGTGGAGAGCAGTTCTGCAATGCAAGGAAACGATCATCTCATCATCTTCTTCCTAGAGAGAAAGTTTCCCCAAATCAGTAGCGAAATTTCTTTGACCATGTCTGTGACGAATCCACTCTTTGTACCTGCTCGTGTGCGTGTCTTGCGCATTGATGCTGGCGCCTAGCTTGATGAGATCCTCGCAAATCTTGAGATGGTTGCAATCGGACGCCCAGATCAGCGCGGTTCTTCCATACCGATCCTACACTTCCATTTGGATGAATCGAGACAGAGGAAGAATTTAGGCGATGCCATACCTTGGCATCGGCATCGAAATCCTTGTCCTTGGAGAACTTGAGCACCGCCCGGTGATCGCCAATCTCCGCGGCATCGAAGATGTTCTTGGGCGGCGCGCCGCGGCCGTGGAGATCGTAGATCGCAAACTGGCGCGTGGGGAGCTTGTTGGCCGCCTCGGACTTGCGCACCTGCTCCTGAGCTTGTGCCTGGAGGATCGCGGCCTCCTCCTTCTTGGATTGCTGCCGCCGCCGCTCCATGGCCCTCTCCTTATCGTCCATGCCGTCCCGAAGAACCCTAAAACGGTTGTCCCATGAAATTCAAACTGCCCGCCAAATGGGTAACGAATATGCTCAATTTTAAAGCCTTAACCCAACCCTAACCCTACATTCGCCTAGAAATTGGGGCTCTTTATAAAAGACGGCAAGGTGTGTCTTTAAGCCGGTTGACCGTGTCGAGAGTTCTATTTTCGTGGCCGAGAATGTCAAGGAAAATGTCTCAAAGTGGGATCAGCACTACGGCACTTTGTTTTTTTGTATCCATGTCATTCGTCTCTCGCTCTAGTTCAAAGGGTCAAAATTTTCAGGCTCAAAGCAGATGATTCCACGAGAACAATGTGAGACACGAAATCGCGATGAATTGCGCTCGCTCTTTCCATCTCATCTCGCGGGGGGAGGTGGAAATCGTCGACCTTTGTTTGCTGGAGGAAATGAGACAAGAAGAAGTTGAAGAAACGGACGCAAAGAACACAAGGTACACCGATTTTTTCTTTTCGCCTTTTATTTTTTTCTTTGGTGAGGAGTTTTAATTGGATTTGCCAATCAGCAGTAGCTTAGGCACTGACGTTCTTACGTCTTAGAAAGAACACGCAATATGATCCAAAAAAGCGCAGATTATTTTATCCAAGGAGAAGAAAAAACTGCGAATCGAACTCGCCAAAATTGGATTTTTAGAAACAATATCTATGCGAAGACGAATGAATGAATGAACGAACAAGAGAAAAACGATAGACAGCTTTCCTTCTCCCGGGGAGGAAGAAAGAAGAACACTGATTGCTATGACGGAGGAGGGGGACGAGGATCGCTCTCCTCCTCCTCGTCGAGTTCGAATGGATTGAAGCTCTGCTCGTGATGCCATTCTTGCGAGAACAAGTTCTCGATCATCTGCTGCTGCTGCTGCTGATGCTGATGCTGCTGCTGCCGGAGCAAATGATGCTGCAAAAGAATCTCTTGCCGCCTGCGCTGCTGCTCTTGATGCTGTGGATCCTGTTCTTCCACTCCAAATCGCGGCAGCTGGGCTAGGCTCTGCTGGATTTGTTGCTGGCGATGGATCTGCTGCTCGTGAATCTGGGTTTGCTGGGCCTGCTGGAGCTGCTGCTGCTGCTGGGAGGAGAATCCGACGGATGGCGATTGCTGGAGGAATGGCGGGCGATAGCCAAGAACCCTAAGTTGCTCCTGCTGGAGCACCGATGCGTGGAACAAGCTCTGCGCGCTCTGCGGCCATGCGAAAGACGCCGTCGCGGGAGGAGGACGAGGAGTGGGAGGGGGAGTGGTGCTCGCTTGCGCTGCCGCCGCGGCTGCCCTGGATTGGATCAGCTGCTGCGCTTCCTGCTGCTGCTTCCTCTCTTGCTCGCGCTGCCTCTGGCGGCTGTGGTACTCGTCTGGGAAGTTGAGCTTGGCCCTGTGGCCACGGAAATTGATGGCCGCCGCGTCGTACGCCCTGGCCGCGCCCTCGGCGGTGTCGTAGGTTCCCAGCCATACCCGTGCCGCCTTCTTGGGATCCCTAATCTCTGCCGCCCACTTCCCCCATGGCCGCCGGCGAACGCCGCGGTATCGCGGCCTTGGATTCTCTTGCTGTTGTTGCTGCTGGCGCTCATCGCCCGCTCCGCGCGCTTGCGCCGGCGCTAGCGCTGTTCCTCCTGCATTGAAAGAGAAAACAAAGACGAGAAGTTAGAAAGAGATCGAGCAAGAATGGATGCTTTTCTCGCGGCAAGGCTGGATTTTGAGCATCGAGCATTGCGGACGATCGTATTCGGGAATCTAGGATTTGAACAAGAGGATGGATTCGATTCGATCCGTATACGCTTTGATGTAACGTGCACATACCTCGCTGATGATCGTGAGATTGCTGCTGCTGCTGCTGCAGCTGGGCCTGTGCCTGCTGCGCTGTGATCGATGAGACCGATCGAGCTTGCCCGATTGACGCGACATGCATTGCCGGTCGATCGCCGGAGCCACTTGCTGCTAGAGCCTCCGGTTTAAACTCGTGATCATACTCGTAGCTCCAGTCTAATTGCTCCACATCTCGCTGCCGCTTGTGTGAAGCTTGCGCCTGCTCGAGCGCTTGCTGATCGTCACCGCGGCGCTGGTCCTGCGGGATGATCATCCTGGAAGAGGAATCGCCGGCAAAAGGCGAGGAGCTACTGCTAGTCGACGTACTACCCGATTGACCGACGTGAGAGAGGACGCTCACCATTAGCGACCGTTCCTGGGTCAAAATCTCACCCCTCCCATCCATGAATCCCGGTATCTGCCGCGGGTCTACATGGAAGTCGGAGCTCCGCAGTGATCGAGCTTGCTGATCGTGGTGTTCTTCTTGATGGGGATCCTGGAGCCGCGGCCTCTTGGCGGTGCTTGACTCTTCCTCCTCCTCTTGCTCCTCCTTCCCACCGCCACTGGCACCGCCACCGCCACCATCGCCACCACTGCGATCTTGCCGACGATGAAAATCACCGCCACCCCCGGGGAACTCCACCTTCGATCTCGAAGAAGCGAATTTTGCTGTGATGATCGGCTGCTTACTTGCTGACTTGATTATCCTCGTGGATGGCTGGACGGATAGTATTCTCGGCGGAGCGATCATCACAGCGCGTTTGTTGCTGCCGCTCGTCACGAGGCTTCATCCAAGTGAAGCTCCCTAGCTCTCTCTCACTCGTTCTGGAATCTGGATCGCTCTCGCTAGATTGTATTGTTTTTTCTTTTTCCTTGTGGCTACTGCTGCTTTGCTACCACTGCTCCTTGCCTGGTGTGCTCAATGGATCCTGCTCCTAGATTTCAAAAGCTACATGATTTTGTCGGCAGCGATTCAAGCCCTTTCCGATTAAAACAGTGGAGAGTGTCTGAGCTGTTGTACAACAGCACAACAGTCGGAACACGACTTCGAATTCCTCAGTATTTTGCCACTCTTTGGTTTTGATGGTTGCGTGCGCGTCCTTTGCACCGCCCACGCTCAAACCCAAACAAAGAAAAAAAAACACCTTTTCTTCCTTCTGGAAAGAGAGAGAGAGAGAGAGAGAGAGAGAGAGAGAGCGGGAGGGGGGAGCTGGAACCTCTTCGCCAAAAACCGACCTAGTGAATAATCTTCTTAGTAAATTCCCCCCAAATGAAAGAAGAAAGTTATAGAGAGTCCTATTTCATCAGCTCTAAAACTCATGCTAGATCCCCTGTAGCAATTGCTGCGCATCTGCTCGCGCGATGGCCTGATTGACAGACAAGCGAGGCCTTTTTCTCGCAACCCACACACACATTTTTCTCGATTCCTATCGCGTTCTCCTCTATCTCGAGTGGAGTGTGCGCGATATCAATTCGAGGAGCTTATCGGCCCTGGATCGCACGAAAGATCCGCAAGATAAGATCAATCTCTCGTTTGCTTGCTCTGCCGCCTTTGACGAAGCTTCGCGGGGGTCCAGGCGCATTTGCCCGGGCCTTCCTCGTCCCTTCCCGCGCGCTTTGAGGATATTCCCGCCACCGCTGCCCTAGGTTTTAAATTTGAAACGGGCGGACGCCACATGGACCCTGCTGTAGACACGTGTGCAAATTGGGCTGGCCACCGTCGACGCGACACCGACCTTGGTAGCCCACGCCAGCATGTCGGTGTGGCACGTGGCGGTATCCAAGGGCCGCGATTCTCTCGGTCACGGTCAAACCCCGCCATAAGCGGGAAAACATTCCAGGCGTCGTTTAGCGCATCAACGCGCTTACAGGATATGCGGCTGGTCAATTCAACCATTCCGTTATAAGTTGGTCAACCCCTTGGACGAAATGTTTGCCCTCTCTCTCTCCATTTTTTCTCCGAGCTTGGTAAGAACTTAGAAGAAGGGAGCTGTTTTTCCTGGGTTCTTTCTGCGCATGGCGGTGGCACGTGTTTGGACGTAAATTTTTTATCGGTGCGCCAGTGACCCACTGCTTGAATCGTTGAAATCTAATCCATGGCTCTTTCAATCCCTCTCACGGGAGGAAGCGAGGGCGTCAAGGAGCTTCGGTCCAACAATTGTTACATCACCTGATGATGCGAGCAATAAAAGCATTGTCTCGTCAAAAGATTTGAGTAGAGAGCGCAAAAAAAAAAAAAAAAAACAAAAAAATTGGAATCAAACAAACCTGCACCGAGCGTAAGGAGTACGATATTCCCCCCTTTGTTGACTTCGTTCTCCTCCAGCGCTGTGAGCTCCCAAGAGAGACGTTCTATAACTTCGTCCTGGATATGTGCATGCGTGGGGGCTTGTCAGAGGTAAAAACAAGCACGCCTCAAGGAGCTAGCTAAGCACTCACCAAGGTTGGTATGAACATCGCAGGTGGGCCTGTAATAACGGAGACCAAGTCCGCGCCGCTAAGTTTCCAAACATTGTTCTCTCTGGCCGAAAAAATCTGCCACAATGTAGGTACGAACTCAGAGCAAGCAATATTTTACAAGGACAAGAGAAAAGAATACTGGCCTCCGTCACGATCACTCTATTGGCACCGCTAAATGCCGGAGCAAAGTCCTGTAAGAGCTTGGCGATACGACTGCATGCACCATCTTGTCATACCGTGAAAAAGAAGCAACGCCAAGAACGAGGCCGAAACTTACCTGTGTGTGTGTGGCTGAAAAACCACCCAAATCGGCTGCTTATCAAATCTCTGACGAGCTGCTTGAAGAACAGCGCGGACCTCCGTCGGATGATGCGCGTAATCGTCATATATGTCACACCTTCGTACGGTTCCTACGTACTCGAAGCGCCGGCGGAGCCCCTGGAAGCTTTGCAAGGCGCTGCTGGCGGCTTGTGCAGCCACTGCCATGGCTTTCAGCTGGCCAGATTCATCACATGATCCTTTGCCTTTGAATGCCAACAGTGACACTGCCGCGAGAACCTGGACATCGAAGGTGAGCAAACGACAAAAGGATTTAAATACGCACACTCAACAAAGGCTTACCGCTAGAGAGTTGAGTACGTTGTATGTGCCCGGAAGCTTCAAGCTGACCCTGGCCATGGGCCTATTCCTGTACACCTGCATTCACGCAATATAAATCATTAGTCCCTCCCATGTTGCTGAAGTGCCGAGTGACGAAATTATACAGCAACATAATCTGTACCGCCCAAGATGTTTGGCACAAGCATGATTGCTCGCCAATCATTTTGTTCGTGAAGGCCATATGTGAGTTTCCTAGAAGCCTGTTTGGAATATTGCTCGAGGCTAGTGATCAAGGATCGCGTCCCTGCACTGAAGAGAAGGATTACGTTGGCAAAACAATGAACATCGCAGAAAGAACCTGTCGCCACAAATTATCAGGCAGCCATCCGGCTTGATCCGGGAAATAAAATGCTTGAACATTTCTCGCACGGAGGCCTGCTAGACAGCTTGATCTGTAGACAATTAAAAACAAAAAGAGAGAGACAAACACTATACCTCGTCCGGGAACATGTCGACATGCTCCCATTCCACGCTAGTGACAATTGCGAGGGAAGGCGAAACGCCCAGAAAACAGCCATCGTACTCGTCTGCCTGGAACAAAACATTCTATCAGAAAGAACAAAAACACATCCACAACTTTACATGCCTGGGATCTAGTGTGAAGAGCACACCTCTAGGACGAAACGGCCTCCTTTTCCATAAGCCATATTACCGCCAGCCAACTGCAAACTTGCTGGGAATTGTCACTACAATAGAACAACAGCTACCTGTGGGACGTCAGCACCAACGATGGCCGTAATATCATCACTGAAACTTTGAAGAACAACGGCCAGCATCGCCGTGGTGGTACTTTTGCCTGCATTCTCGAGTTTAGAGCGAAGTGTATTAGCGGATTCAAAGCGTCATACCATGAGTTCCAGCCACAGCAATAAGCTCATAATCTTCGGTGATCTCACCCAGCCATTCCGTCCGTTTGATTCTGGCAGGAAAAAAAAATTTAAAAAAATTAAAGATACGTTTCTACTGGGTGGTGCTTTACTTACACTCGTAAGCCTCGACGGCGAGCAGCTACAACTTCTTCGTTTTCGGCAGGAATCGCACTAGACACCACAACAGCATCGGGAAAAATCCCAGAGTCGCGAAGCCAACGCTCGTCATGGCCGGCATGAACGATGGCACCAGCTTCTTCCAGCGATCGCAATTTATTGCTCCATGTAGCATCAGATCCAGAAACCTTCCATCCCTGCATTGGGATGGCCACAATGCCAGTAACTACTACCAGAAATAACAAGCATACCTGCTTGAGCGCTAGCAAAGCGAGAGGGGACAATCCAGTGCCGCCAATCCCTACAAAATGCACCCATCGCGATCCTTCCGCCGATGCCGCGCACGGAAATCCAAGGCGCCGCTGCGATGGACTGCGCAGCGGCTCCGGCAGCAGCGCCCGCGGCATTCTCCAAGCCATCGCCATGAACCCTAATTAGGGATTGAGGGTTTTAACGGTCTTGGAGGGTGGAGCTTTCTCAGATCGGTCGAATTTTCCATCCACTGGTAGAGTTGATCGATAGCTATGGTTTTAGTTCTCGTGATCGTGGCGCTCTTTAACTTGGAGCTATGCATCGCCCAGCAATTCCAAGCTCTCTCTCCTCCAGTAACTAATCTTCTTCCATCTCCCGCTGGAGATTTTCATCTTCCTCTCCAAAATGGCAAGGGCGAATGAAAATCAAGACGATGAATCATCTCCAAAGGGGTAAGAGTGGGAATCGCGTTTGTTATAGTCGTCGCGGTAATTTTTGGAGTGGGAGGTTCTTACATCTACGTGACCAAGAAAGCCGATTTAACCGGGCAAAGAATGGGTAAAATTTTCAAGATCTCTTTAAAAACCATGGCATTCTTTTTGACGTATGGTTAGAAAACACGCATCGCGGCAGCCTTTTAAAAAAACACACACGAACTCCTCACGCCTGTGTGTTGTAAGAGTGAAATTTATGGAAATCTCTCTTTTTTTCTACCCCCACACGCGAAAGGCATGCCACGTCAGCTTTTGGGCTCCCTCTGGAGCACTTTTTATGCGTTTGGCCGGGCGGCAAATGGGGCGCCATGCATGGCTGATAAAGTGGGAAGGCCAAATAACCCTACATTCCTTTCTTTCTTTGTCTTGTTTCTTTCTTTCTTTCTCCCTCTCTTTCTCTCAAGGCGCTAGCTAGGGTTTTAGGTCTGTCGCAGCGCCCAGGCCGCGATTGCAATGCGGCGATGCGGATGATCGCTCTCTTGGATCAGCTCCGCCTAGCAATGCAGGTGGCCGACGCGCGCATCTGGCCGATTCGAGGCTAGCGGAAAAATATTTCGCAATGGCAACGTCGAGAGGAGACGCCGGGCGGCGCCTCTCCGGCACGCACACGAGCGGCGAGGTTCTTGACAGCGAAGTCGTACCGTCGTCGCTCGCCTCAATTGCTTCGATCCTGCGAGTCGCGAACGATGTGGAACAGGAGCGGCCACGCGTGGCTTATCTTTGTAAGTTCATCCGATAGAGCATCACGGCGCTATTTGACACTGTATCTCCGCTGCTAGGTCGATTCTATGCTTTTGAGAAGGCGCACCGACTGGATCCTACCTCCAGTGGCAGAGGTGTTCGTCAGTTCAAGACAGCACTCTTGCAGCGACTGGAAAAGGTGAGCGTTCGTTTTCTACCAGTGTCACTTTCGGGCCTGATGAGTCCGATATTTCTTTCAGGACAATGCTTCGTCGCTCGCTCAACGGGTTAAAAGAAGCGATGCAAAGGAGATCCAGTATTACTACCAGCAGTACTACGAGAAATATGTCAAAGCCCTCGACAAGATTGATCAAAGTGACCGGTACTTTCTGCTCGATCTTAATCTGCCAGCCTATTGGAATGTTTTGTGTGTCTCCAGTGCTAAACTTGCCAAGGCGTATCAAACTGCCGGAGTTCTTTTTGAAGTACTCTGTGCGGTCAACAAAACTGAGGAAGTTGCTCCCGAAGTGAGTGCATGCTACTTTCTTCAAGTGCTGGTACTAACTCCAGGTTTCCAGATCATAGCTTTGGGTGAAGATGTCAAAGAAAAAAAGGACATCTACGCGCCGTACAACATTCTTCCTCTGGATGCCGCTGGCGCATCGCAAGCTATAATGCAGTTGCCAGAGGTGCTTTAGTTCACTCGTCTTTTCCGTCGAAGGCTCTTACGTTTTTGTTCTTAGATAAAAGCAGCTGTCGATGCTTTGAGAAATATTCGAGGCTTACCTTTCCCAGCTGCTTTAGAGCATCAGCCGAACAAGTCAGCTGAGGTCGACATTCTCGATTGGCTCCAGCAAATGTTTGGGTTTCAGGTAATTGAAATAATTTTCTTGCTTGTTGGCGGGCACTTGATTTGCGCATATCAGAAAGACAGCGTGGCCAATCAAAGAGAGCATCTTATTTTAGTTCTTGGAAATTCACACGTGAGAAATTCGCAAAAGTCGGAATCCACATCATCCAAGGTAAGCTAGGTAGTTTTTTTTTCTGATGAGAGTATGAATGTTAACTCGGGCAATTTTTGTTAGCTGGATGATCGAGCTCTCAATGAAGTTTTCTTGAAGCTTTTTAAGAACTACAAGGATTGGTGCAAGTTCTTAGGCCGTAAAAGCAGCCTAGTGTAAGTTTCCTAAAGCTAACCTTGATCCTTGAAGCATACTTGATTGATTACGCAGGTTACCCGAAGTTCCACAGGAAGCGCAGCAGCGAAAGCTTTTGTACATGGGCTTGTTTCTTTTGATTTGGGGTGAAGCCGCCAATCTCCGTTTCATGCCCGAATGCCTTTGCTATATCTATCACAATGTAAGTCACTTTGCAAGCCGTTTAGGAATGCGCTCATGGAAACACTGCAGATGGCGTTGGAGTTGCATGGCATGCTAGCCGGAAATGTCAGCTTTGTCACTGGCGAGTATATCAAGCCTGCTTACGGTGGTGACGAAGAGTCTTTCCTACGAAAAGTTGTAACGCCCATTTACGATATCATTGAGAAGGTGCGTGATTAGTTTCTCGAAGAAGATACAATGACCTTGCCTTTAAAGGAAGCGAGAAACAATAAGAACGGAACAGCTCCTCATTCGGCATGGCGCAACTATGATGACTTGAATGAATACTTCTGGTATTTTGGTGTTTGTGGAAAGACGTTTTAGCCATCTTGTAAATGCCAGGTCTGCCGAGTGTTTTCGATTGGGTTGGCCGATGCGAGCAGATGCAGATTTTTTTGTGCCACCTGCTAGAAAGATTGTCAAGGTAAGCTCCAGTTTCATTATTTCAATAATTTTGTAAGCTTTTTATTTGGCAGGGGACATCTGGGAAGCGATTATCTCAGCGTTTAAATAAGACAGGCTTTGTGGAAATACGTTCATTTTGGCACATATTCAGGAGTTTCGATCGCATGTGGACATTCTTCATCTTGGCCCTTCAGGTAATTACTTGTCCGAATCACTTACAATTTACAAGAGATATTGTTGTTATAGGTGATGATCATTATCTCTTGGTCTGGAACTGGCTCTCCTTCTGACATCGTTCGCGGAGACACACTGAAACAAGTCTCCAGCATTTTTATAACTGCCGCGGTTCTTCGCTTCCTGCAAGGTATGAAGTTCCGCGTGCTAGCTTCCAACACATTCGGGTTCTCTCAGGTGTATTGGATGTTATATTCAGCTATAAAGCTTATCACAGTATGAGATTTACAAGCACGTTGCGGCTGTTCATAAAGCTTGTGGTTTCTGCTGCATGGGTGGTTGTCCTTTCGGTTCTCTACGTCCATACGTGGGAGAGTCCCAGGGGTTTGATTGGGATTATACGACGCTGGCTGGGGCACAGGTGGAAGAATCCTTCGCTCTATATTGCTGCTGTCATCGTGTATGTACTTCCCAACGTTATAGGCGCGTTCTTCTTTATATTTCCCGCTATACGACGATGGATAGAAAATTCTAACTGGCGAATCATTCGTTTCTTGCTTTGGTGGTCACAGGTAATTTTTCTTTTTCATTTGACTTATGTAAGCTTGTAATATGGTACAGCCGCGCCTCTACGTCGGACGTGGAATGCACGAGGGGCAGTTTACGCTCTTCAAGTAAGGCTTATGTTTTGTTTGATGTAGATAATTCAATTTTGGTTGCAGATATACCTTCTTTTGGGTTCTGTTAATTTGTAGTAAGCTGGCATTCAGCTATTACGTGCAGGTTTGCATCTTTCGATTTATTTATTTATTTTTCTAAAACCTTTCATTTCTTTTTCTTCTTTTTTTATGTCATATATCTATCAGATAAATCCTTTGGTGAAGCCTACAAAGAACATAATGAACACCAGAAACATTACTTATACATGGCATGAATTTTTTCCTAATGGTAATGCTTTCTCGATGTTTACGATTCTTCATGTTTACTTTTGCAGCGAAAAAGAATATCGGTGCTGTGATTTCTGTCTGGGTACCTGTCTTGCTGGTAAACTTCGCATCTCTGTTATGAGAATCCGTATGTTTTAACTTTCTTCTTCAGATTTACTTCATGGATACGCAATTGTGGTATTCTGTGTATTCCACACTGTTTGGAGGTATATCAGGAGCCTTTAGGCGTTTAGGAGAGGTAATTATAAGTCCAATTTATCTTTTCGTTCTGATCTGCGCTAGTTTTGTAGATTCGAACGCTCGGCATGTTGAGGTCCCGGTTTCAGTCTTTACCAGAAACTTTTAACCGCAATCTAGTGCCGAAGGATCGCCAGGTGAACAGCCACGAATACTGTAGTCGCAACTGATGCTTTCTCTGATTCAGGCTAGTGGAGAGCAAGAGGCATTTGCCAAGTTCGCACAGCTGTGGAATGAAGTTATCACCAGCTTTCGGGAAGAAGACCTCATTAGCAACAAGTATTTCTGTGCCTTTTATGATGTCTTTACTTAACCAGATATTGCAGGGACATGGATCTGATGCTTGTGCCATATTCCGCTTCAAATATGAATGTAAAGCAGTGGCCTCCATTTCTCTTGGCTAGTAAGGTAGGAATTTCCAATCTGTTTCTACTTCTAACATTGAAAGCTTCTTGTAGATCCCAGTAGCCATACAAATGGCGGAGCATGCTAGAAAGAAGGATGGATTGCAGCTATCAGACGATTATATGCGTTCTGCCGTCACAGAATGCTATAGTGCGTTTAAACTGGTCTTGAATACTCTGATCGCACCTAACACCCGTGAGAAAACGTATGCGTTGCAGATTTTTTGGTTTCATGTTCTTAATTGTTATTTGCAGGGTTATCGATGAAGTTTTTGAAGAGGTTGACAAGAGCATCAATGGAAACACCCTACGTCTTTATTTTAAAATGAGTGCATTACGCGCACTCAATGATAAGTTCGTTACGCTTATAGAGCATCTGGTAAGGTTGTGTTTTTAAATTCAGAAACTGATGCTATATTTGTTTTCTTCATAGCTGAATCCAAGTCCTGATTCACGACATAGCGTGAGTGTGTTGCTACAAGACATGTATGAAGTGGTATCGAAAGATATGATCGTGGAGGATTTATGGTAAGCTTGATCGCTAGTTTGGTAACTTACACAAGTGCAACACTTTCAGGGAAGAAATCGAGGAGCGTATTGCTAGTAAGGAAAACAAAACTGCAGTTCCAGTCGATCCAGCTAACCGGCAGATTGACTTGTTCGACATCAAAACTATACGATACCCGCCACCCGATACCCCTGCCTGGGTTGAACAGGTTCAGACGCAGTTTAATTTGATGCTTCACGTTGTCTTACTGCCTACATTTTGCAGATTAAGAGGCTGCATTTGCTGCTCACTGTCAAGGAAACTGCGATGGACGTACCGACAAACTTGGAAGCTCGTCGACGTCTTACATTTTTCACGAATTCTTTATTCATGAAAATGCCAGAGGCTCCACCTGTTCGAAATATGCTTTCCTTCAGGTAAATTTTTTTTCTCTTGAAATTTTTGTTATGTGCGGTTTTGATTGTTTTAACAGCGTTTTGACGCCTTACTATGCTGAGGAGATTGTATTTACAAAGGAGCAGCTGCATGAAGAAAATGAAGATGGCGTTTCTATCCTCTTCTATCTGCAAAAGATATTTCCAGGTTAGTTTTTGTCATATTTTGTTTTGATTGCAAATCAGTAACGAAGTAATCAGATGAGTGGGATAACTTCTTGGAGCGTATCGATTGCGAGTCCGAGAGTGATATTGGGCATAACGAACAGCACACATTGGAACTTAGAAAATGGGCATCTTTTAGGGGACAAACACTCTCAAGAACAGGTAATTTGACATGTTCTTATGCATCTTTTCCTACGTGTTTTGTATGTAGTTCGGGGGATGATGTACTACCGCAGGGCACTCGAACTACAAGCATTTTTAGATATGGCGTCTAGTCAAGGTATAAGTTTTATCACATATATTTTGTATTTAAGCAGCTTGCTGGCAGAAATTCTTGAAGGATATAAAGTGGTCGCCAACTCTTCTGAAGAAGCGAAGCGAAGCCAAAGGTCACTGTGGGCTCAATTGCAAGCAATAGCGGACATGAAGTTCACGTATGTAGCAACCTGCCAAAGCTATGGTATTCAGAAGCGATCGAGTGATACGCGTGCGACAGATATCTTAAATCTGATGATTAAGTACGTCTTCCAATGTTCTACTTTGATTGGGTTTTCTGACCGCGATCAAAATGCAGGCATCCGTCATTGCGAGTTGCATATATTGATGAAGTGGAACAAAGAGAGAAAGATAAGATAAAGAAAGTCTACTATTCTGTTCTTGTGAAAGCTGTAAATAAGCTTGACCAGGTAAGGTGTTTTTTTGTTTACAATCTGTCTCTTACACGTTTTTGGCTTCAGGAAATCTATCGTATAAAGCTTCCTGGACCTGTGAAACTAGGGGAGGGTAAACCCGAAAATCAAAATCATGCTATTATTTTTACGCGGGGAGAAGCTCTTCAAACGATTGACATGAACCAGGTAATCTCAGGATTTTTGTTAAATGAGCTAAATCCATATAAATTTATGTTCAGGACAATTACCTAGAAGAAGCGTTTAAGATGAGAAATCTCTTATCCGAATTTCGCAAAAATCATGGTGTTCGTCCACCGACAATTCTCGGTGTGCGGGAGCACATTTTCACTGGCAGGTAACAGTGTAACAGTCAACTGTTAAACATGGATCGGACTCCAATTTTTTTGTCACTTAAACAGTGTCTCGTCGCTTGCATGGTTCATGTCCAACCAGGAGACAAGCTTCGTCACTATTGGACAACGAGTGCTCGCAAATCCATTGAAGTAGGATTCCAAACTTCTGTTCGATCTGTTTTGTGATTCGGTGGTGCTTGCAGAGTTCGTTTCCACTACGGTCATCCTGACGTTTTTGATCGATTATTTCATATCACACGGGGTGGAATCAGCAAAGCCTCACGCGTTATAAATTTGAGCGAAGACATTTTTGCAGGTTTTATGTCTGTTTTTAACTTATCCGTTTCTGATCTTCATCTGTACAGGTTTCAACTCCACTTTGCGTCAAGGCAATGTGACTCATCATGAGTACATACAAGTTGGAAAAGGAAGGGACGTTGGACTGAACCAGATTTCGCTTTTTGAAGCTAAGGTGGCTAACGGGAATGGAGAGCAAACTTTAAGCAGAGATGTTTACCGATTAGGACATCGATTTGATTTCTTTCGAATGATGTCCTGCTACTTCACAACCGTGGGATTCTACTACAGCACTTTGGTAAGGCTCCAGTTCTCTTTATTCGTGGGTCTCTGAATTGTTCTTGCAGCTGGTTGTCTTCACAGTGTACGTCTTTTTGTACGGGAGGCTGTATCTAGCAGTAAGCGGGATGGAAAAATCCCTGATGCAGAGTGCGGACTTGAATAACGACATTCCTCTCCAAGCAGCTTTGGCTTCTCAGTCGCTGGTGCAGCTAGGTGCGCTGATGGCTTTGCCAATGGTGATGGAACTTGGACTCGAACGGGGATTCCGAAGTGCGTTCAGTGACTTCATTGTCATGCAGCTGCAGCTCGCCCCGGTTTTCTTCACATTCTCCCTTGGCACGAAGACTCATTACTATGGCCGAACTATCCTTCACGGCGGCGCGAAGTACAGGGGCACAGGAAGGTTTTTCGTTGTTCGTCACGAGAAGTTTGCCGAAAACTACAGATTATACTCGAGGAGCCACTTCACTAAAGGCTTGGAGTTACTGATGCTGCTTATTGTCTACAACGTTTACGGTTCCTCGGCCAAAGGCACAGTAGCGTATCTGATCGTCACGTTTTCCATGTGGTTCCTGGTTGCAACTTGGCTGTTTGCGCCATTCTTGTTTAATCCATCGGGCTTCGAGTGGCAAAAGATCGTGGAAGACTGGGAAGACTGGAATAAGTGGATCAACAGTAAAGGCGGCCTCGGTGTTTCGGCAACTAAAAGCTGGGAGTCCTGGTGGGAGGAAGAGCAGGAGTATCTTAATCACACGGGCATTGAAGGGAGAATTTTGGAGATCATCTTGGCACTTCGATTCTTTCTCTATCAGTATGGCCTCGTCTATCAACTGCACGTTACAGGCGGGTCAAAAAGCATTACAGTAAGTTTCCGGCTGTCTGGTGTCCACTTTGTTTATAATATGGCTGACTTCCTTCGAACTGCAGATATATGGTCTGTCCTGGCTGGTGATTGTGGCTGTTCTTACGGTGTTGAAGGTAAGCGACACATTTTTATAGTCTACGGGATTTGTGCTCATTTGTTTTCTTCTGTCCTAGATTGTGTCCATGGGAAGGAAGAGATTTAGCGGGGATTTTCAGCTCATGTTTCGTCTGCTGAAAGCCCTGCTATTCATTGGATTTCTTTCGATCATTGTTGTTCTGTTCGTGGTGGTGGGTCTCACTGTTGGAGACATCTTCGCGAGCATTCTGGCGTTCATGCCAACTGGCTGGGCACTTCTGTTGGTAAGACGGCATTTAACTTTTTCGATTGTTAGACACTGACTTCTCACGTGTTGTTTGACCTCTCCCAGATTTTCATGGCAAGCAGGCCAGTGATTGTCAAGCTCGGCTTTTGGGATTCTATCCGGGCTCTGGCGCGGACCTACGAGTTTGTCATGGGCCTTGTGCTCTTCGCACCGGTAGCAGTCCTGGCGTGGTTTCCCTTCGTCTCGGAGTTCCAGACGCGCTTGCTCTTCAACCAAGCGTTCAGCAGGGGTCTCCAAATCTCACGCATTCTCGCGGGTAGGAAAGGGAAGAAATCCAACCAGGACAAGAGCACACACTAGGAGGGGAACATACAACTCACACAACACGCAACGAAAGCTACGCGACACGGTTAGTCCGAGAGAGAGAGAGAGCGAGAGAATCTTGTATAGTATTCGTTCCATTTCGTGCGTAGAGGATTTAGTCAGCTCGATTATTCATGTGCTGACCTCTCCCTGTAGCTAAAGCGGGGAGTTCGCTGTAAGCGCTTTTATTATACGTGAGAAGAACAGAAGTTTTCCTTTGCACGAGCAAAGGCTTACGTTTTGGACAGTGACACTTGGATTCTACTCATCAAATGGTCAGAGTTTTCATTCCTTCGGTCGTACTCAGCTGTGAGGTGTTTTGGCATTGCAGGGACGCGAACGAGCACGAGCTATGCAAGTTGACAGTGACACGAGCTGCAAGTTGAGGATATCTTACCATTTTTTTCCACTCGCCCCGGCGCAAGCAAGCTTTCCTGGCGTACTTAAATGCTGGCTTTTGGGAGGAGACGAGATAACAGGGAGATGTGTTCCAGCTGATCGACCAGAGATAAAGAGAGGTGAGCGTTTCGCAGTGGAGGAGAACCAACGTGGGAGAGGAAGAATGAAGAGAAGGTCCAAGGATAACACGCGGAGAAGCTGGAAGGATGGAATGGCCGGGCCAATTGTTCGTCTTCCTCCTCTTCGTCTTCGGCTTCTAGGACACCTCGTCCCTGCGCTGCTCGTCGTTCTTGTCCAGCTCCCAGCTCCACTCACAGCCTGGCCTCTCATCTATCCATCGCCGCCGCCACCACGTCCGCCAAAACGCTGTCATCCGCCTCCGCCGTGCGTCTGCCCCGCTTATCCGCCATATTCGCCTCATCCAGCTCCGCCGCTCGATCCCCCACTACCTCCGCCACGATCTCCTCCATCGCCATCTCCACTTCCGGCTCCATCGCCATCACCAGTGTCTCCATTTCTGAATCCATACAGCACGACTCCGAGTGGCTATGGTGGCGATCACGGGCTCAGTCTTGCACAAAAAGGTGGCATTGCTGCGGGAGCGGTTTGTGGTGCTCTCTTGGCCGCACTGTGCCTGGGTTTCTTGGTCAAGAGGAAATACTACCATCGCCGCCATCCCCCTGGAAGCCAAATCCTGGAGCCTGCTGCTCCACCACCCGAGGAACCATGCTAGTTTGAATATCTCTCCCCCTTCCTTTCTGCTTCCTTTCTAAATAAATCGAGCTCCAATCCAATGTACACTGTATGCTTTTGATTGGTGGTTGCGATTGTCAATTTCAAAATAAAAACATGCCTTCAAAGAAAAATAGGGCTATCTGCCCTAAATTTATGCAACCTTTTCGCGTTGCTTAAAACCAAAAAAGTTGACCGTTGACTGTTTCTTTTTAGGCCTTAAGTTTGCCACCGAGATGTCTGTACAAAAATGACAGGTTCGAGAATGGATACGTACCAGTGGTTGCACCTTATACAGGCCTGCAAGGAGGTTTCCATGCTTGAGGAAACTGACTCTCGCATTAGGTCATCCTTGGGAGCTCCCGACACAGTAATCTACAACAGGCTGATTGAGCAGTATGGGAAGCTTGGAAGCCTAGATGGCGCTCGGAGAGCTTTCAACGACGTCAGAGAGAAGAACGGCTTCACTTGGGTGGTAATGCTGGTGGCTTGTGCCCGAAACGGGCATATGGAGGAGGCGCAGCGCGTGTTCGATCAGATGCCACGGAAGACGCCGGAGTCTTGGACAGCAATGCTAAATGCGTATGCCCGAGCTGGGCGTATCGGCAAAGCGAAGAAGATCTTCGACGAGCTGCCTCACAGGGATTTGGTTTCGTGGACGTCCATGCTGACGGCTTATGCCCGCTGCGGATATGTGGACCAGGCGAGAGAGATCTTTGACCAAATGCCAGTTTGGAACCTTGTTTCCTTTACGGCAATGCTCAGCGGGTATTCGCGAAACGCACAGACCGAGCAAGCGGTGGAACTCTTCTCCCAAATGCCAGAGCCGGATTTATTTGCGTGGACGACGATGCTAGCTTTACATGCTCAACAGGGACACGTCCATGAAGTAATGAAGATGTTTGAGGCGATGCCCTTGCGGGATCTGGTGGCGTGGTCTTGTCTCGTAGCGGCAAATGCAGGGATGGGCCTCGTCGAGCAGGCCAAACAAGTGTTCGATGCAATGCCGGAGTGGAGCCTTTTTTCCTGGAACTCGATGATAAGCATGTACGGACAGAATGGAAACTTGGAGGAGGCCAAGCGCTTGTTTGACGAGATGTTCCAGCGTGATGTGTTCTCCTGGACTTCTCTTCTTACAGCGTTCGCTCAAAGCGGGCAGATTGCTCTTGCACGGCAGACCTTCGAGACAATGCCGGAGTTTAGTCTCGTCTCGTGGAACTCCATGCTCGCTGCTTACGAGCAAAACGGAGACTTTGATCGTGCTAGAGAGATTTTCGACTCGATGCTACTGAGGGACTTGATTTCCTGGAACACCATGCTAGCCGCGACTGCTCATCATGGGCTCCTGCACCACACGAAGCTCCTGTTCGGCGGCATGCCATGCAGGGACTTGGTCTCGTGGACGACGATGGTGGCGGCTTTTGCAGAGAACGGGCAAGTGGAAGACGCAAAGGCAGCGCTGGATTCCATACCTGTGTGGAACTTATCATCAGTGAACTCCATGCTCACTGCGTTCGCGAGAGCCGGGCTCGCGAAGGACGCCAAGAGGATGTTTGATGCGATGAGGCACAAGAACATCGTCTCGTGGAACACGATGCTGGAGCTTTACGCACAGAACGGGTTCCACAAAGAGCTTGCGCGCGTGTTTGAGGACATGCCCGAGCGGGACACAATCTCCTGGAACACAGCCATCTCGGCCTACGCACAGAGGGGCCACGCCGCTCAAGCAAAGAGACTCTTCGATCAAATGCCGGAGCGGAGCTCGGTTTCGTGGAGCTCAATGGTGGCACTCTACAGCTACCATGGCCGCTCCAGCCAAGCGTTTGTCACATTCGAGGAGATGAACTTGGAGGTGGCTCCTCGCGTCGACGAGGTTTGCTTTGTGTCTCTCATGGCTTCTTGCGGCCGAGAAGGCAGGACTCTGGCCGGGAAGAAGTGCTTTGTGTCGATGAAGGAAGACTTTGGGATCTCCCACACAAAGCACCACTACTGCTGCATGGTGGACTTGCTGGCCAGGGCGGGATACTTGATCGACGCGCAAGAACTCGTGAGGGCCATGCCGTATCGTGCTACCGCGGTGGAGTGGCTTTGCTTGCTGTGTGCTTGCAACAGCCGCGGGAGTCTCAAGCACACCGCCGTGGAGATCAAGTCGGTACTGGAGCAAAACTTTGGATCCGCGTTTGTGGTGTTGGCAAACAAAACGATTTGATCGCTGTAAATATCAATCTTACTGATGTGTTCTCGCTATCAGTTTCATGGGCGAGGATCGACAGGACGATAGTTGGCATTGATTTTGATGAAATATATCAAGCGGGGATAGCTCAGTTGGGAGAGCGTCAGACTGAAGATCTGAAGGCCGCGTGTTCGATCCACGCTCACCGCACGTCTTTCGATGGCATCTTCTCAAAAACTGGTTGAATCTTTTGCCACCATTTACCAACTTTCAAGTGAAAAACTAAAGTATGCACACAAACTTACAATGACAATGAATTTGGACGGTGAGACCGCAGGAAAGATTTTGGATCTCATCAGCACCTCTACCACCCTCGCCGACGCCCAGCACGTGCAATCCATCATCCATGCGCGTTTCTCCCCGCCGCCAACTTTCCTCCTCAACAAGCTCATCGAGCTCTTCGGCAAATGCGGCAGCGCCAAGCACGCCTCTGCCATCTTCACCGCCATGCACGACGACAGGAAAGACGCCTTCTCCTGGGACCTCATGCTCGTCGCCTTCTCGCGAAACGCCCATCTCAACCACGCCAAATCCCTCTTCGATCGCATGCCGCACCGCAACATCGTCTCCTGGAACTCGATGCTCGCGGCCTACGCACAAAACGGGCATCTCCGCCGCGCCGCCTCGCTCTTTAACGAGATGCCGTACAGGGATCTCGTCTCTTATACAACGATTCTGTCAGCTTATGCTATTAGCGGGCATTTGGAGCTAACGAGACGTGTGTTTGACTCCATGCCGGTAAAGAATCTTGCAGGATATACCTCCATGCTGATAGTCCTTGCTAGCAAAGGTAAAGTTTGTGAGGCAAGGTTGGTTTTTGATTCTATGCCCATGCAAGATACCGTGGCCTGGACTTCTATGTTTGTGGCATATGCCCAAAACCGGCATTTTGATAGCGCTAGAGCCTTGTTTGAAAACATGCCCGAGCAAGACTTAGTGTCTTGGAACTCAATGCTTTCAATGCTAGTCCTTACAAGTAACCTGGAATATTTGAAATACCTTTTTGACACCATGCCTCAGCGAGACATCATCTCTTGGACCAACTTGCTTACTGCATATGCCCAAGCCGGGCATCTCGAAGAATCGAAACGAATCTTCGACGAGATGCCGGAGCACAACCTCGTGTCGTGGACGTCGATGATCTCTGCAAGCTCGCAAAACGGCAACTTGGTTGGAGCGAAACAAATCTTCGACGACGTACCTCAGAGAGACGAAGTTATGTGGAACTCGATGCTCGCTGCTTACACCCAGAACGGGCACTTGATCCGAGCCTGCCACTTCTTTTGGGAGATGCCACAGCACGACTTTGTTTCCTGGAACTCGATGCTCGCAACGTACGCCCAGAACGGGCACGTCGTCGAGGCCAAGGCCATCTTCAACCGGATCAAACTCTTGAATCATTGCGACGATGTCTGCTTTCTCTCTATCCTGATAGCGTCCAGCCACGACGGAGACCTCTACACTGCCAGGTCCCATTTTGTGTCGATGAGCATGGATTTCCGGCTGCAACAGACGAAGCAGCACTACACTTGCATGGTCGATTTGCTGGCTAGAGCCGGGCACCTCAACGAGGCACGGGAGCTCATGCTAACGATGCCGTACCTCACGGATTCTGTCGACTGGAAGTGCTTCCTCGGTGCCTGCCGAAGTCACAGTGATATCCGGGGCGGTGGCCATGCTGCACAGCGCACGCTTGAGATGGACTCGAACAATGGATCGGCTTACTCGTTACTCGCTAACATCTACTCCATGCGTACGAGAGAGACTGGGGGAAGTTTATAGCCTTGTGCTGTCCTCAGCCAGTGGTGCCTTTGTTGAACAGCTCAAGTGTCAAGTTGGCTATAAAAACAGGTATCGATTTGAAGCCCAAAAATGTCGTCATCTGTGATTCATTGTAAATATTGAATGACTTTAAAAACGACTCCCTCAGTTACCTGACGGTTGATTTCAGGCGAAGTTGTATAATCATTTGCCTTGCATCAAAAAGAGCGTTTTGAGAGGTCAACGACAGGCAAAAGCAAAAAGCATACCAGCATGTCCATTTTCTGTATACTGAAACTCAAGCTCTTGAGTAAACCGAACGGAGCTTGGAACGTAACTGCGGAATTGAGCTTCTCTATCTGCAGTACCAAGTTAAATCAAAGAAACAAGTGTGGTGCATAAATCACCTCACCAAAGATCAAACCACACGCTGTCCTAAAAGTAAAAGCCTTTTCAGCAAACACTTGCATGTATCAAGCGAAGACAGTCAAGCGAAGTTATTCTAACCTGTTTTCACGTTTTTATGACGTAGAAATCTCCTGCTCTAGCACGCCCTCTTTGCCCGTCAGCATAGCAATCTTGTCCTTGCATTGATTTTTCCGGTGATTTCACCATAAGGATACGATTGAAAACAGCTTGCTTGCGGTGAGTTTGATCCTTCCAAGACCAAAGTCTTGAGCTTGGACACTACAGAGACGTCTCACCCTTCTGTACCTGTTACCGTATGTTTGGTTATATTTGAGGCAAAAGTCAGAAAATAATACAGAAAGATTACCTTTCCTTCAAGGATTCCAACTTCTTGCCGTAATTGCAACGATTCGCGTTCCAAAGATGAAATGGTAGATCGTGCAGCTTCACGGCTGAGAGTCTATCAGAAGCGACTTGAAGCTCCTTTGACGTTCCAATGCTTTCTTTCTCTATGACCTTGATCGTCTCCTGTGTCCTAGCTAAGAGACTTTCCAGCAAAAAACATCAACTTATCATTGACATTTTTTCCTAGTCGCTTCTTAGACTTCTCAGGAGTCGCAAGTACAGATGTAGATGAAGCTGCCTTATGTTGTTGCAAAAGGAATGATTCCTCATCATCATATGAAGCAAGGATGGCTTTTACTCTGTAACCTGCCATCAACGCAGAGCCTTGAAAAAAACCACAACAAGAAATCAACGTGTCAGAATACCTGGCGTTCCAGGCGAGAGTTTCTTCCTCGAGCTTCTTCTGCATGTTCACGTAGCAGACGCGGATTCTTGTTTTTTTTCATCAGAGTCCTCCAGTGCGACTTGTAACTCCCCGACTTTAGCTTTACTGACCAGCAACTCCCTGAAATCAATAGAAAAACCTGGCAAATGTACCTCTGCAAGCTAACTAGCTTTTCTATTCAGGGATCTCATCTCGAGAGGCGTTTCCTGGGATGGCTTTGAGGGCATCCTCCCAAGCATTCAGATCGCATTCCAAAGCAGATATACATAGCTTGCTCTTCAAGCTCTCCATGTTGCACGAGCAAATAGGAAAGCTCCTCTGATACGCACTCGGTCTCCCGTCTGCATGCATCATTCTGAAGAAAATCGCACACAAGCCATTACAGCAAGCCAAAGATCCAAATAATTCACCTCAGCATTCATTTTAGACATGCTAAACTCGTTGTTCTCTCCCATCCCTTGTATGTTCCTTTCTAGACGACGAATTTCTTTAGCGGAGCTGTCACGTAAACTTGCAAGCTCGGTTTTCAGTGAGGAGACTTCGTTTTCCGCTTCCTTAGCTCTCGTCTCAGCCTCGGACTTTGATCGAATCTCTGCCTTTTCCTATGGACAACGATTCTAGAAACAAAGAAATCCAACTGCTTGCGAAATCTTATAGTGACTTCACTCCCGCTCTTTTCCACAGTACAACCTTCTAGTCCAGGGTCAATAATCCATATTTTCAATGGTCATTGCAACTTAACCACTTCTTGGAACATAACAGCTGGAATCCAGCTGATAGAAGTGGGATTACTAATCCTCCAAGAGGAGACAACCTTGCTAATTGACAAGTATAGTCATTCTTTTGTGTGGGATCACATACCAAAGTCTTAAATTTCTCAATTTCTGAAAGGATGCATGTGGTTATCCAACCGTAGGCATGTTTGTTTCCAGATGAATTATACAGCAAATGTCATTTTGAGATTATAGTAGATTATATTCTCAATTCCATTCCAATAATTTTATCATGAAAACATTTTATAATGTGTTAGATTGTGAATTCTTCAAACACCTTTGACCTGCACTGAAAGTGAGGCCTTGGTAAATAAAATTGACTTAGATTGGTAGATGGACCTGCATACCGTATTGATATTATTATCTATCATTCCATAAAGAATCACATGGATAGTTTCCTGTATCACAAAGCTTTAAGCAATATGCTAATCAAATCACTATTCATGTATATTTAAACATTATATCAGTCCGAACTGATCAATTTAACTTTACCTTCTCTTCCACTAGACACAACAGCTAGAATCAAGCTGATAATAATACATGTGTTTGAGCCAAAAGGGAGCACATTGTACACAAAGATGCCCCAGGGGGTGAGAAATGCTGTTTTGTCACAGTTGGCTAGGTGAATCCTTCTTGGACAACTGGAGGCATGAAGCCACAATACAATGAATGCAAAATTATCACTCTTGGTCCCTCTAGTTTTCAGTGTTGCGTACCCACATCCTTTGCCATTGCCAAAGTTTGTATTCATTGGCATGGAATCTACCCTAGCTTAAATATCACAATCTAGTGGAGTTGGCATTGGCAAAAGTAGGTTTTGCTTGGAAAGGAATGCCCATGCGGAAATCTCCCGTCCAGGATGGGAACTCGCTCAAAATGGAGCTCGCAGCACTCAGCAGTCGCAGCCCATGGGCGGCGCTCCTAGGAGCCCACTGCGCCCCTAACACAGGGCGCCCATGGGAGTGGAGCTCGGAAGCTTGAAGTGCTGTAGACAGAGTGTCAGTGCCGCCATCAAGTATAGTGCCAAGAGAGGAGCCCACAGCACCCAAAAACAAGAGCTCGTAATGGGCGGCCCTCCAGCAGCGTGACCAGAGCTTGCCGAGCGGCACTCACAGCCCTTACGAATTGACAGTTGGACCTACATTATCACGTGCATGTTTGCTGCTTTGGTTTTGTTTACATAGTAAAGAAAGCGATTGTGTATCATCCAGCACTATCAGCAGTTCATTACAAATGTGCTTTGACAATGTCTTAACCATGGGGCTCGTGCACTAGTTAAACTTTACAAAAATATTGATGTGAGCCACGCGCATTGAATTTTGAAAGCAACCAATAATCTGCTTAATGTCAAGATCCAAACTCGTCAACTTGCCACAGAGGTTTGATTAAGAAACAAATATTGATTGAATATATAACATCAGAAGCGCCTTATCCTCTCCTCACCTCGCTACTTCATTCTGAGCAACTCATCAAAATCTTAGGTATTCCATGGCTTCACACCGTTTGCTTCCAAAGGTTGGAGGATCCGCAAATATCAGCATAGGAAAGGTAACGACTTGAGTTTCATATGAAAATTTCTGATCCTGAACAGGACGGAATCAAAGCCTCGCTGGACAATTCTAAACAAGAAGATGCTAAGACACCTGTATGTGATTCAAGAGGTCCTGTTTCGTTCTAATGTTTGTTTGTGTGTTCGTAGGATAATAATGCTCCAGCTGTGACTCTCCTGCCCCGCTATGTAGCAGTAAAGAGCTCTGGGGGCTACTTGAGGCTCAACTTCAAGTCGAGCGGGGAGGATAACACAAAGCGTCCCTACTTGACTTTCTCGGAACAGAGCAAGTCCCGGTTAGCAACTCATCAAATCCTGTACCTGAAGAAAGATACTGTGTTCTTACGAGCAGCAAATGGAAGATTCTGGCGTGTTCTTCAGGATGGTGGCTGGGTAGTTGCTGATCGAGAGGGCACACCTGCATCCACCGATACTGACTGTCAGTTTGAGGTGAAGCAGATCGACTCAAACACCTATTCGTTCAAATCGGTGCTGAATGGAAAGTATCTTGGTGGTCATACCGTGAAAAACCTGGAAAGGGGATTCAGAGCTTCTGATGATACGTCCAAGGAGAGCTTGCAAGTGACTTCTGCAGAAGATACTGCACTCACACTTCCACGCTATGTCATGTTCAAGGGCGGCAACAACAAGTTCATGTGCGTGCATGCTGAACGTGGGCAGGAAATCTGGCTACAATTCAACCTCGAGAACAATCCGGACCTTCACGCGGCTTTTGAAGTTGTCCCCACTGTGGATGGTAATGTAGCGATGTGCAGCATCAAAAGGGACCGCTTCTGGAGGCTAAGTCCCAATTGGATATGGACCGACATCGAACGTTCCAAGGCACTTACCACTCCGGCGTGCTTGTTCGAGCCCATCAAACTCAGCAACAAAGTTGTAGCCTTCCGTTCGACAGTCAACCAAAAGTTGTGCAAGCGCTACACTGATTACTGGGTGAGTTCCCTATGTGCCATTGCCGACAGCATCAACGATAAAGAGACCCACCTGGAAGTGAGCAAGGCTGTGTCGCATACAAGCATATTTGATGTAAAGTATCTGCTCGAGTTGGCCGAAATGCGGGAGATTGAAACCCTGGTGGTTGGCCGCAGCTACCTGAAGAACGACGGTGAAAAAACGGCAGATTTACAGGCGCAGGTTACCTTGTCTGAAACACTGACCACCAGCCAAACGTGGAGCACCTCTGACACCTTTTCTATGAGCACAAGCGTGTCTTTAACCGCTGGGAAGCCTGAAGTTGCAAGTGCTACGTTTACGCTGACTATTGGGACTGAAACAACAAAGACCTACGAATTTGGTAAGGCCACTCAGAACGCAATCCAGTTTCAGTCCACAATCACTGTCAAAGATGTCAAGCCAAATGAGGAGGCGAACCTAACCTTTGAATGTACTAAAGCTAAGTGCCGAATTCCTTTCACGTACAAGACCAGGAGCACTCGACTGGATGGTGTCGATCTGCCAGCAACTGAAGAAATTGATGGTATTTTCGAAGGTGTCCTGGTATACAACGTTGGAGCAAAGATAGGACGTGGAACTAAGTTGTCTTCAGAAGCTGGAAATAAGTTGTCTTTAGAAGCTGGAGACGTTATCTCTATCAACATAGAGACTGGAGAGACACGGAAGGAGGAAGAATGGGTGCCTATGGAAGTGACAGAAACTCCTATTAATGGATAAATTACAGAGAACAGCGAAACAAATAAAGAGAAATAAAAGCTTTCCTCTGAGTGCTAATAAAACATTTCTTCATTTACTTTCGAAGAGGCTATTAGGTATTAGCTGAGGTATTTGCATCTAGGGACACGATCGATTAATCAATCTAAATTGCCTTCTGCCTCAACACTTACAACAAGACTGTCATAGCTCGTCCGAACACGCACAACAAAGAGCTGGAGAGCGCGGAGAAGTGTAGAGTGAGGCAGCGGTGCTGCTATGCTATTTTCGACCAAGAGGTCATTCTAGCATTTTAGGGCTTTCTTTTACTTCTCCTAACTTTATTCGGCTAACGTAACCCTAATCCTGACAGCTGTCCTAACCCTAACTAAGTTCTATTTTATTTAGATAGACAAAAGTTATTTTTGTGAGGGGAGCTTCATCTGCTAGGGAGATTACCGAGTGGAGATACTGATGTTGCGCAAACCTGTCTGGGACAATGAGATTGTGCGTCTTGTCAGCGTAGAATGTGGCGGAGAACTTGTCAGCAACGGATCTGAACAGCTCCTAAGTCACCAAAAGCAGACTGAAAGAAACGACTGAAAAGTTGCATCCGTTCGTTAGCTCAGAGTAAGGATGGAGGGCTTTGGTTGTCTAAACCTGGAATCTCACCCAATTGGAGTCCAACAATCACTCCCATTTGCTACATTGTATCCGGAAGCCACGGGGAATTGTCGGTGTTTTTCTTGCGGCATGATGTATTCCAATTGGATAGTTCTGATTTTTCCAAGATAGAGCTGCCAATGAATTTCCTGTCAACACTAGCGATAGAAAGGACCATATAATTGATCAGCTGCTGATTCGAATGTGAGTCAGATCGCTGAGACGTTGAATGAAGCTTCTCTGCTTGATCGTAGAGATTGTAATGAAGGTAGTTCCTTAACAGGAAATTCAACAAGGTTTCCTGGAAACAACATCAGTAAGGCACTACCTGCTCTAATTCATCATGCCGTAGAGTCGCTGGTGAAGAGCAAGAAGGTCAGAGAAAACATACAGTACATTCCGTAAACCATCCAAAAGTACACCTCTATCCCCGCAAGAGAGTCAGCAAAGTGACTAGTAGGATTACAGCCTTGATGCCAATGTCCTCCGATTCATCTGTTGCAATGTCTTGATACCTGCATCTGAGCAAGCCCTGGCCTAAAAAACAAAGTAAGCACCTGCGAAGCAAGTAGCGGATTCACCTGCCTACACTGCTTCTGGTCGATCAAGTAGATCAAAACTATGAGGTAACACAGTATTTCCAGCTCAGGTAGCACATTCTGCTTCGATGGAGAATCTCATAGTCTTGTCATCCTCCGGCTGTATGAAGTCTCTTCAGATTGAAAACAGGGATCATATACAACAAATGTACCTTCTTCACGAATTGCAGCAGTGAATCAGAATCCGACAGAATCACGAACTTGATAAATGCAGCCAAGTGATCCAGGCTTGAGCTTATGCCGTACAGCCATCACGTTGCAAACAGCTCGAACCATGAGCCCCATCTCCTTCGTTGCCACACCTTCTCCACCAAGGTGGAGCTAGGGTAAAATGCGGAACAAGCTTAAGTGAGAGGATTGACGGCCCTGTGGAATCCTTAGAGCGATGTGGAGAGGAAACAGCAGGCACTTCCTTCATTTCCACGTCGAAGGCTATGCAATACAGATCCATTGCATTGTCAGGCATTCTGCTTCAGGACTGTTCTCCTGTCTCAACTTAAAGAGTAATTTTTGTTATTGTAAATAGCCTATCAAGGTGTTCCAATCACCAAGGAGTTTTTTTGCAACCACATATAAGTGACACATTGGATGACTTCCCTTCCTTCAAACGTGCCAAGTTTCTAGTTGACAAGGAGGCCTACTTCCGCCAGTGAGCTTCTTGTTCTGCTATTTTCCGATTGTTTCAGTGATGCTTATAGCTTTGTAGGCTCGCAGCGAAGAATTTAACGCCCCTTCCTGGCCTTCCAAGGTTATGTAAGTGGATCGAGGACAAAAATCTGCGACGTGCTGCAGTGAGCAATGCTCCCAAGGTGAATGTTGAATTTATGATTTCGCAGGTGCCTTCAAAGTTTCTTCGAGACGGTGATTTTGGGAGATGCATGATAAGCTTTTTCCCAATCCGTACTTGGAGGCAATGCAATTACTTATCTCTCCGTCTGGTATTCTCGGCTCTGACTGCTTGCTTTCTTTTTGGTTGCACACGCAGGATTCACCATCTGGAATCAAAGCAGGAGCAGGCATAGCAGGATACCTTTTTAGCTCAGAACTATGATTTGGTCAGCTCCCTAAAACTTACAATGATACCACGAGGAGAATTTTGGATGTCATCAGCACCTCCACCACCCGACGCCAATCCATCATCCATGCACGTTTCCCCGCCGCCAACTTTCCTCCTCAACAAGCTCATCGAGCTCTTCGGCAAATGCGGCAGCGCCAAGCATGCCGCTGCCATATTTGCCGCCATGCACGACCACAGGGAAGACGCCTTCTCCCATCTCAACCACGCCAAATCCCTCTTCGATCACATGCCACACCGCAACATCGTCTCCTGGAACTCGATGCTCGTGGCCTACGCACAAAACGGGCATCTCCGCCACGTCTCGTCTAATGGACAACGATATTCCATTACCAGCTAAACGTGTGTTCGATTCTATGCCAGTAAAGAAACTCGCAGGATATACCTTTCATGCTGATCTATTTAGCCTGGACCTCTATGTTCATAAACCGGCATTTTGATAGCGCCGAGCGTGAATTGGTGTCTTGGATTCAATGCTAGTCCTTACAAGTAACCTGCAATACCTAAAATATCTTTTCGATACCATGCCACACCGACACGTAGTCTCTTGGACCAACTTGCTCACAACATATGCCCAAGGCGGGCATCTCGAAGAATCCAAACGAATCTTCGACGAGATGCCGGAGCACAACGTCGATGATCTCTGCAAGTGGAAACTTGGTTGGAGCGAACAATCTTCGACGACGTACCTCAGAGACACGACATTATGTGAAAATCGATGCTCGCTGCTTACACCCAGAACGGGCATGTCATCCGAGCCTTCACCTCTTTCGCGAGATGCCACAGCACGACTGTCTCCTGGAACTCGATGCTACGTAACGTACGCTCAGAACGGGCACGTCGACGAGGCCAAGGCCATCTTCAACCGGATCAGACTCGCTTTCTCTCTATCCTGATAGCCTCCAGCCACGACGGAGACCTCTACACTGCCAGGTCCCATTTTGTGTCGATGAGCATGGATTTCCAGCTGCAACCATCGAAGCAGCACTACACTTGCATGGTCGATCTGCTGGCTAGAGCCGGGCACCTCAACGAGGCACGGGAGCTCATGCTAACAATGCCGTCCCTCACGGGTTCTGTCGACTGGAAGTGCTTCCTCGGTGCCTGCCGAAGTCACAGTGATCTCCGGCGCGGTGCCCATGCTGCAAAGCGCACGCTTGAGATGGACTCAAACAATGGATCGGCTTACTTGTTACTCGCTAACATCTACTCCATGCGTACAAGAGACACTCGGCGGAGTTTGTAGCCTTGTGCTTCCCTCAGCCAATGGTCCCCTTGTTGAACAGCTCGAGTGTCAAGTTGGCTATAAAAGCAGGTATCGATTTGAAGCCTTGCAAAAATGTCGTCACCTGTGATTCATAGTAAATATTGAGTGACTTTAAAAACGACTCTCTCAGTTACCTGACGGTCGATTTCAGGCGAAGTTGTATAATCATTTGCCTTGCATCAAAAAGAGCGTTTTGAGAGGTCAACGACAGGCAAAAGCAAAAAGCATACCAGCATATCGATGCGTCCAACTGCATGTCCATTTGCTGTATACTGAAACTCAAGTGTTTCGTACTCCTTATCTCTTGAGTAAACCGAACGGAGCTTGAAAAACGTAACTGCGGAATCGGGCTTCTCGTTCATCAATATCTGCAGCACCAAGTTAAATAAAAGAAACAAGTGTGGTGCATAAATCACCTCGTAACCAAAGATCAAACCACATGCCGTCCTAAAAGTAAAAGCCTTTTCGGCAAACACTTGCATGTATCTGGAACAAAGACAGATTAACAAAATCTCAAGCGCAGTTATTCTAACCTGTTTTCACGTTTTTTTAACGTAGAAATCTCCTGCTCTAGTGCGCCCACTTTGCCCGTCAGCATAGCAATCTTGTCCTTGCTTTCAAGAATAGATGCAATTTGCTCTGCATATCACGGTGATTTCACCATAAGGACGCGATTTAAAACATATAACCGAACATACCGTGCGTGGCACTCTCAACAGGTATAGAAGTGACAACCGGGTGAGACGTTTCTGTAGTGTCCAAGCTTGTTCGCAGCTTCAAGACTTTGGTCTTGGAAGGATCAAACTCACCGCAAGCAAGCTTTGAGGCAAAAGTCAGAAAATAATACAGAAAGAAAGTACTACTATTACCTTTCCTTCAAGGGTTCCAATTTCTTGCCGTAATTGCAGCGATTCGCGTTCCAAAGATGAAATTTTAGAGCGTGCAGCTTCAAGATCGGCTGAGAGTCCATCGGCAGCGATTTGACGCTCCTTTGACGTTCCAATGCTTTCTTCTAATTCCTTCTCTATGACCTTGATCGTCTCCTGCGAGCTAGCTAAGAGACTCTCCAGCTCCTGTATGAACACAAAAAACATCAACTTATCATTGACATATTTTTCTACCTCAATTCGCCGCTGCTTAGACTTCTCAGGAGTCGCAAGTACAGATGTAGACGAAGCTGCCTTATGTTGTTGCAAAAGGAACGATTCCTCTTCATCATATGAAGCAAGGATGGCTTTTACTCCGTCTCTTTCTCGTGTCAAAGAAACAACCTGCCATTACGCAGAGCTTGAAGAAAACCACAACAAGAAGAAATCATGTGTCAGAATACCTGGCGTTCCAGGCGAGAGATTCTTCCTCGAGCTCCTTCTGCATGTTGACGTGCTGATGCAGCAGCAGACTCCGATTCTTGTTTTTCCATCAGAGTCCGCGCCAGTGCGACTTGTAACTCCTCAACTTTAGCTTTAAGCCCTCCATTTTCAGATAGTCTGACCAGCAACTCCCTGAATTCAATCATAAGTAGCCGCAATCTTCAAAAGAACTAAGCAAATGTACCTCTGCAAGCTAACTAGCTTCTCGGGGATCTGATCTCGAGAGACGTTTCCTGGGATGGTTTTGAGGACATCGTCCCAAGCATTCAGATCACATTCCAAAGCGGATATACGGAGCTTCACGTCAGCATAGTCTACCAGCTTGGCTTCTGCTTGTTCTGCGCGCTTTCTTAGAGTATCAAGTTGTTCTTCCACTGCCTGCTGCTTCACGTAATTTGCCTTCAGCTTCTTCGCCTCTGAAATTTCAGCAGACTTTAAAAGAAAAAAACAGTAAGAGAGATTTTCAATGACAAACTTCAAACTCCACTTGACCTGATGTTTTAATTCCTCTCGCAGACTGTTGATTACTGCCTCCGCCTCTTGACTGTCCGTCATACGTGTATTGGAAAGCTTACTTGACGCGGTAGCGAGCTCTCTTTCAAGGTTCATTTTTTCCTGCAGTATCTGCAATACAGAAGCAAATAAACACATGTGTGAAGAACACAAATTTCTTACTTACATTGTTAAGTTTCTCTTCAAGCTCTCCATGTTGCACGCGCAAATACGAAAGCTCCTCTGATACGCACTCGGTCTCCCGTCTACATGCATCATTCTGAAAAAATTCACACACAAGCCATTACAGCAAATCAACGATCCAATACTAAACCTCAGCATTCATTTTAGACATGCAAAACTCGTTGTTCTCTTCCATCCCTTGTATATCCCTTTCCAGACGACGAATTTCTTTAGCAGAGCTGTCACGCAAGCTTGCAAGCTCGTTTTTGAGTGACGAGATTTCGTTTTCCGCTTCCTTAGCTCTTGTCTCGGCCTCGGACTTTGATCGAATCTCTGCCATCAACTTTTCCTATAGACAACGATTCTAGCGTTAAGTAAAAAAGAAAAATCCACACTGGGTATGAAAGCTTGCCTGGATTTCGTTGCAACGAAGTAGGTGCTTGCGAAATCGTTCTTCTCCCACAGTCACCTCCTCAGCTCGCTGCGTACGTAGAGCTTCTTCTCTGCACGTAGCAGCTGCCAAACTTTGTTCTAGTGACTTCACGCGCGCAATCAGGCTTTGGTTCTCGCTTTCTGTGACAAAATCAAAGTCTCGAAAGGAGAAAGGGAGGAACTCACCGCGAGCTTTTAGCTGTTTAAATGCCGCTTCGTACTCTACAACTTGCTTTTCTCTGCGATCCAGCGTCTCGAGTAGCTCCGATTTCACCTACATTCCCGCAGAAAAACCTCTAGAAAATCGAAGAACCCTAAACCCAGACTCACCATATTTCGGCATTTATAGCTGCAGCGCATCGAATCCCAGTCGCGATCGTGATCGCCGGCATCATCGTCCTCTGGATAGGAACCGGCGAGCTCAAGATTTCGCTGATCATACGGCACCATAGCCGCCATTCCATCATCGAGCACAGGATTCCTTGCTGCCGGCGAGTGCGCCACTTCGATCTCGCGCTCCAGCAGCTCTAGAACTCGCGGCCGCTTCGCCGCTGGCGTCCTCGTCATCATCCTGGAAGCCCTGATATAACTCCCCTCAACCAAGAGCCCTAAAAACAGAGCTCTATCCAAATGGAATCCATAGCAGCGGCATTGGCGACACCGCGGATGAAAATCTCCTCCAATCTCAGGGAAAGGAGGGCCAAATCCGCAGTAATCTCTGTAAGAGCCTCGAGTGGCGGCTGCTGCGGAGGATCGGGATCATCGTCGGGCAGCTGCAGTAGCCACAACAAGATCACAATGCCGGATCTAGACTACAATCCGGGCGGGGCGAGCTCGTCGAAATCAGGGCTGGAGAACGTTGGCAAGGAATTCGAGGCTTTAGTGGCGCAGCAAACGCTCATAGAGCTAGAGAAGGATTACGAGACTACACAGGTGAGAGAGCGAACGATTTCTTTTCGAAAATTTCTCCATTGATTCGTGGATCTTGGCAGATGAGAGGCACAATCTCCAAGGAAGAGGTTCACGAGGCCATGAACAGCGTCCCAGTGGTGAGTAGTCGAGCATGAACTTCACGCGGGTTAAAAAACACTTACCTCTCCATTTTCGTCTTACAGGGTAAAACTTCCACCACGCAGGGTAACTCCTGCGTGGATATTGACGAGTTACTGTCCGACGCGGCCGACTGTAATTTCGTGTTCCAGCAGTGTGACGAAGAAATCGTCTTGGTGTAAAAAAAACATCGAGATATTTTGTGATATTTTATAGAATTTACGATTGCCATCTTACCACGCCACATGAGCCCTAATCTTTAGCTCCATTCTTTCCAATAATGCTTTTGGCGCTCGCGACGAGGAGCTGATGGAACCCTAGCGGGGCAAGAAAGAAGAGGGGCGATGACGACGCCGCTCCATATGGCGTGCTATGGCGATCTCCGGGCGTGGTTCCGGAGGCGGCGCCGCGCAATTCTCATCGCCGCGGGCGCGCTGGGCGCGGGATGCGTGCTCTACTACGGATTCACCAGGTACAGCGCCGCGGCGCTCGCTAGGGCTAGGGCGGTGGAGGAGGAGGAATCCAGGCTTAGGGCGGAGACGGAGGAGGAGCGCATCCTCCACCTCCGCCGGCATTGCGACGAAATCCAGCTCCTGGCCGATGCCACGACGCTGCCGTCGCTGCTCGCGCACCTCAGCGAGCGGCTCTTCGAGCTTGTCAACCTCTCGGAGCTCACGCGGCAGCTCATGGCGGGCAAGGAGGGGCCGCAAGCGCTCACCCCCGACGAGAAGCTCAATCTCTGGCAGAAGCTCAAGGTCTCCAGCTTCACAAGGACGCTGTGCGCCGCCTGGGGGATGGGTCTCGTCCAGCTCTTCGTCCGGGTCCAGCTCAATCTCTTGGGCAGGCAGCTCTTCATCAGCACTGCCTCGTTCGGCGATCTCCCGTTCAGCACCCAGCACAAGTTCCTCGCGTTTGGCGACTTCCTCCCCCTGCATGGGATCGCGCTTCTCGTCCAGGACGTGGAAGAAGCGGTGACCGAGGTGATGAGAGACATCTCCCTCAAGAAAGCGTACTCGTTCGACGAGCTCCGGGACTTGCTCATCCAGATCCAGGCCGCGTTCGAGAAGCAGCAGAAGGATTGGTGCCGCTACTTGCTTCCAGAGAATGACAAGCTCCCGGAAGAAGACTATCCAGTCGCCGAGAGTTCTCACAGCCGAGACGATGACGAGCAGCTGCTCGTGGCCAAAGCCCGGGACGTGATCTCGAGCGCGGAGTTCCAGCACACGCTGGGTGCTGTGCTTGACGCTCTCCTGGACACGATGGTGCAAGACTTGCTTCCATACTACCAGGGCCAGCCGGCGGTGGGACTGCCGCTCGCGAAGCTCGTCCCCGCCGTTTCCAGCGTTGGAATGCTGCTGGACAATCGCCAAGACAGCAAGTACGTTCGAGCGGTGGCCGAGCTCCCAGAGGTGAAGTCTTTCAGCGCCATGGTTTACGGTAGCGCAGCCTGACTAGTTCTTTGCGGCTTTTTCTCGAATCGCGCTGGGCGACTGCTAGATTTCGCTTGTGAATGTAAATCTTACACTTGGAAAATAATCTCGGCTGGTTCGCATCGATTTATTGGAAGATCTCAGACAAAATTCCCGGACGAGAGATTTACCTTCTGAAGTGAAAAGAAACACAAGGAAAACAATATGAAGTTCCAAGTAGAACGAACACTTGGACAAACTATTCCATGGAGTACCTGTGGGAGAGCCTAGTTGACGAGCCTGGCAGGATTGATGTTGAGCAGCATGTTGTTTCCACCGGGGAGATAGGCCAGGTTCTTGTTCTTGGAGAGGGTGTTGGCGATGTCGCGAGCAGCCTCGATGCGCCGGAGCTCGATGAGGCCAAAGCCGGCGTTGGCGGTGGCCTGGGAGATGAGCTTCGCGGCTTCTCCCTCGCCCTCGGCGCGGATGATCGCGGCACGGCGCTCCTGCTCGGCCTTTGCCACCACGAACTTGGAACGCTCGGCCTCCTGCTGCGCGACTTGCTTGGCCTCGACGGCTCTGGCGAACTCCGTGCCGTAGGAGAGATGGGTGATGGCCACGTCGTCCAGTTGGATGTTGAAATCCTTTGCTCGCTTCACAAGTCCTGCAAGCACAAGAAGAAAGCAGTAGTAAAAACTACGATCTCATTCTCATCTGGAAACCATAGCACCACCAAGTGTGAAGACAAGACAATACGAACATCCATAACGGAAAAAAAAAAGACAAAAAGAGAGAATAGTCAAGATTTCATTCTCATCTGGAAACCATAGCGCCATGCATCGACCAAAGGCAATCATTTCATTCTCATCTGGAGAGCAGCGCCATTTATCGACCAAGGGTAAAGCCCATGTCAAGAAAAAAACGTAAGAAAGAGCCCAAGCAATACGAACAAAACCAACATCCATAACGAAAAAAGAAATAAAAGAGGATGGTAAGAACTAAGATTCATTCTCATCTGGAAACCATAGAGCCATGCATCGACCAAGTGTAAAGCCCATGACGAAAAAATACGTAAGAAAGAGCCCAGGCAATACGAATAAAACCAACATCCATAACGGAAAAAGTTGCCATGGAGAAGATGAAGAACAAAACTAAACAACGAGTAAAACAATCAAGCATCCATCACGAAGGCAATTAAAAAAAGCCAACAGGCACAACAAGGCTAAATGCTTTACATCGATCGCATTCTAAAAGAAGAAAAGGAGGATAGAAAGCTTACCTTCACGGACAAGGGCCGAGACGTATGGGCGATCCGTGAGGAGCTGGTCGGCATTGAACTGCGCGACCACAGCCTTGAGCACCTCGTTCCCAATCGAGGGCAGCACGCGCTCGTCGTAATCCACGCCCAGCGTCTTGAAGATCGACGGGAGGCTGCCCACATCCGGCCGCGACAGCACCCTGAGCGTGAGATTGACCATCTGGAGATCCTTGGTGCCCGTGACCGACGAGATCGCTCTAGGGCGCGTGCGAATGTCGAAGATGTAGGGCTTCTGGAGCAGCGGAATGAGGACGTGCGTGCCCTCGCCGACGGTCTCATCCAGCACGCCGCGCAGCCGATCGAAGATCACCGCCTGCTCGCCCCCATCCACCGTGTAGAGCGACGCATTGAGGATGCTGCCGCCGATTCCCAGCGCCACGGCGACGCGCGCCACATTGTTGAGCAGCCCGGCTACCCTTGGTGCCGCCATAATCCCTTCCCTTGCCTTCCTCACTTCCAAAACCCTAAACCCTCAGCCGCTAGAGTGGGGCCACACACGGAATATTCTTGTCAAGGCTGCTCATTCTGTTAGTTTTGAAGCTAGAAAACGTATATTCTGCTAAACATTTTAATACGGGCATATTCTGGGAAGTGGCGGAGATATTTGTCTATGCCCGTTGGATTTGCTCCGTGCATTGGACGGCCACAGATCGGGCATTTTGTAGGGTTTGTATCGAAGAAATGGAGCTTGTGGCAGCGCCACAGGCGGTGCCGCTCGCCAGGATCTCCGGCGCTGCGTCCACTTCGTCGGCATTGAGCAAGGGATTGAGCGTGAGAAGCCCCGCGACGACGGCCTTCTTTGGATGCAAGCTCCAATCGCTGCCACTGCAGTTAGCAGGGCGCCAAGCGCGATCGCTACAGGTGAGATTTAGCTAGAGAATGTGGGGATTTGTGTCCATCTAGAGTGGATTCTCGTGATTCACGAAAATTTCGAGCTATATCACTACTAATGACCTTTAAATCGCAGGTATGCGCGAGTAAGAAGACCTTCTCATCCTTCGATGAGCTCCTGCAAAAGTCGGATCGTCCCGTGCTCGTCGACTTCTACGCAACATGGTATGTGGTAATGAATCCCTCGCAAGTTTCTTCGTGCCTAAAGATTGATTTAGTTGCCGTTGTCTTCTGTGAAAGGTGTGGTCCGTGCCAGTTCATGGTTCCCATCCTTGGTGAAGTCCAAACAGCAATGAAGGATGAGATCACTGTGGTAAGCCCATTCTTCTCTCTTTTTGTTCGATTGGTTGCCAAGCTTCTCATTTCCAGGTAAAAATCGATTCGGAGAAATACTCGGACTTGGCGAGCAAGTACAGCATCGAGGCTCTTCCAACATTCATTCTCTTCAAGAACGGCTCGCCTGTGGATCGTTTCGTAAGTTCTAAGCAAAAAGAGAAAACTTCTTTCAACTTCATTGCTAAAATCCATGGGTTCTTTTGCAGGAAGGTGCTCTACCGGCAGCAAAGCTGATGGAAAGGATCCGCGGGGTCTTAAGCTCTTGCAAGGCAGGCGTCTAAAACGAAAGTTCGTGCCTGGTATCCATTTTTTAAAGGATTCAATCTTATAGAAGTTTGCTTGGCTTCTCCTTCAGAAACAATAAAATAAAATGCAACAGTCGGATCGCGAGAAATTCCTATCCTGTTTTTCTGACTTCTGAGCACTGGTTTTTATTGTGATCCAGGATCGTTAGCTTCGTCGAATCGGGCTTTTTGTCCATAATGACCGGAAATTGTCAAGTGAGATCATTCCATTTTGTGCGGAGAAAAATGTCGACTGACGATTGGTGGCTTGTAGATTTGGACGTAACGGAATCGATCAGTTTGATGATGGCTGTATCTCTCCCGGAAATCAGCCCGTTGTAGTAATCCGGCAAGTATAAACTTATCTTCTTGGATCGTCGCTTTCAAATTGTCTTCTCAAAACGACCAGCTTGTTCCTGTTCTTTTCAGCCTCGGTAGCACTCAAAAGGTAGAACTTTCTTTCACCCCGACTTCTTTGCTCACTCGGATGGATCTTTTTCTTTTTCCATGCAGCTTCCAAGATGGCTTCTACAGCAGTTCTTGCGCTCCTGACAGCGACGCTACTCATCGTCTCGTGCACGGCTCAAGCTCCGGTAGAATCTCCGGCCGAAAGTCCAGAACAAGGGCCCGTCTTGCCAGTCTCTCCAGAGAGCGCTCCGGCGGAGCCCCCGGTTCCTTCTCCACAAATCTTTGGCATCCCACAGTCGCCGTCGCCGTCTCCGTCTCCATCAGAACTCCCGCCGCCGTCTTCAGCTCCCGTCTTTCTGCCTCCATCACCATCACCACTTGAAGCTTTGTCTCCAACTGAAGCTTTGGTTCCAGCTCCAGCTCCATCTCCAGCCTCCCCGCCACCTTTACGTGTTCCAACAAGCTTCTGCGCACGCTCGGTCCTCCGGAAGACATGTCCGAATCCTCCGACGTTCGACTACATCCAGCTCCCGGACTACGCCGGCAAGTGGTACGAGATTGGAGCCACCGCCACCTCCAAGCTGCTGCTCGAGGCCGGGACTATCTGCAACCAGGCCGTGTACGCCGTCCCCAACACCTCGAGCTTCGCCCAAGCGCCAAACATGTCCGTCACCAACGTCGGGCTTCACGTTGCCGGCCCGCTCACATCTCTCGGCGTCCAGCAGGTTGCGGCCGCCGCTGGAAGCGCCTGCTCGGGCGCTCGAACCATCTGCGACCGAGTCGCCAACGACAGCCACACCACCAGAGCAGCAGTGGAGCTCGCGTCCGTGGCCGCGGCCATCGAGCAAGGGAACTTCGCCGCCGAGCTGCTGGAGCTCCAAGACCAGATCTTCTCGGCCATCGGAGAAATGGAGGCGACGCTCGACCTCTTCTCGCCGTGCATGGAGAGCATCCAGCGTCTCGACGGCGACCTGAGCCAGGCGGAGATCTTCGCCAACGCCACCACCCCGGAGCAGCGCAACGCGACGCTGCTGGCGCAGGGAGCCCGCCTCGAGGCTCTGGATGGCCTCCTGGATCAAGCCAACGCGCTGGTGGACTCGCTGCGTCAGTCGGTCCACAAGATGACGCAGTGCACGCCCAAGATCGTCAACATCTCGGCGCAGCTCCTCTTCGTCGGGGACCTCGAGTCGAGCGTCCGGCTCACGTCGGCTTCCACGGACCTGAGCACCACCGGCGACGCCATCCTCTCCCAGGTCCTGGCGATGCGTCTCACGCTGAAAGGCATCGCGGCGGCTCGCGGCCTCATCGATCTCGCCATCAGCACCGCATCGCCCAACACCACCGCGCCGAGCTTCGACACCTCTGCCGGCTTTGCCATCCAGAACGTCACCTCTCCCGGCAAGCTCAAGCTCCAGCTCGCGCCATCCATCGCCGCGCCGGTGCCGCCACCCGCGGCTCCATACTGGGTGCTATCACTGCGAGGGCGGGCAATGCAGGGATACCGGGCCTCGCTGGTTTACTCGTGCTCGCAGAACAAGGTGACGGGAACGATCCACCAGGGGATGTTCATCCTTTCCCGGACTCCCAGCCTTCCGCAGAAGATCGTCGGTGAGCTGCTCCAGCTCTCGGCCGCTTTTGGCATCAACAACGACTGTGACGATCCGTTCCTCTACACTGTCCATCACGGCAAGACGTGCGCCATGCCACCCTCGGAGTGAGAAGAGAGGATCGATCTTTTTTATTCCATTTTCGTTGCTTGGAAATGTCTGTCTGCTTGTAGCTAGAAACCCTGCTAAAAACGATGCTCCCAGCTCTCTGTTTGCGCAAGCACAAAAATAACGAAATAAGACCATGCTTAAATCTGGCTCAAAGCACGTTAAATCTGAATCAAACCTCCGTACAGTGCGACACTGAAGTGAGCCACTATATTCTCTTTGAGCACAATAGTCTTTTCTACACAATATTTATATTGAGAAAAGTCTAGAAATATTCTATTTTAATTAAAATAAAAATAAAAACTGAATATTCCCATTGTAAAATGTAACATTCTGAAGTCCAAGTGTACAGTTAAGTCTCTTCTTATGCCGTGTTCAAGCTCATTTCTTAAGAACCAGCCAGTCAAAGTCATGTGTGAATACTCTCCAACTCTGACTGATGCTTGGTGGCCTTTATATGATCACAAGCACCATTCATTTATTTTATTGTTGTTGCATTCTAATGGAGCTATGTAGGCTATTTGCTTTTGTCCTGCTTGTTGTCAAACTTGTTTTTCATGGAGATGCTGAAGATTCAGAGTTGGAAGCACTCTTGAGCTTTAAAATTCTGTGGATGATCCTCTGGTGGCACTGAATAACTGGAAGGCAGGCACAGACGTTTGCCAATGGATTGGTGTAAGTTGTTCCTCGGTAGGCGGCATCACTGGCATACAGCTTGATTCTCTGTCACTTTGGGGCCTTCTTCCATTTTCTACCATCCAAGCCCTGCCTCAACTACGCACCTTGAGTGCTTCTGGGAACAACTTCACTGCGATCAAAATATCACCGCAGAAATGCTCTTTGGAGGTCCTCAATTTGTCAAGCAACGATTTCACTAGTCATTTTCTAGATATTCTTTTGGTTACTTACAAAGACATCAGGCACTTGAACCTCTCACACAACAAGCTAAGAAAAATTTCGCTGAAGGGAACAATCGGGCATGTTATGGTTTCGGTTGATTTATCTCACAACAGAATCAGTGGCTCGATACCTGCTTCCATTTTCACATTGTGTAAGAGTCTATCAGACAATCACGTATTTGGACCATTCCTCTCGGTATTTGCCAATCGAAGTTTAGCTACGGTTTTCAAGTCTCTTAAAGTTCTCCAGGCCGACCACAACAACTTTATAGGTGAACTCCCTACAGTTCCTCCAAGTCTTAAGGCTCTAGACCTGAGCTGCAACTTGTTCAGCACTGGCAACCCAAACATCTGCCCTGCAAGGTCCTCACTTAAGTCTTTGCTGCTGGTATATAACAGGTTGCATGGTCGGGTTCTGAACTCAGCCATGAACTGTGTGGAAGTGCTTGGTATCAGCATCAATTCTCTAGCAGGGCCCATGTGCAGCAGACTTCCGAAGCTTCAACATCTTCTTCTTTGGGGGAACAATCTTGAAGGCAGCATACCCGCTACAATCAGCAATTGCAGTGAGCTGGTGACACTAAATCTCAGTTTTAACAATCTCACAGGCGTCATTCCTCAGCAAATATCTAGGCTGAAGAAACTCTGCTTGCTGTTTCTGAGCAACAACATGATATCTGGAGCAATCCCGGGATCTATTGGAAGTATGCTGAGCCTTCGATCTCTTTTACTGGGTCACAACAAGCTTCAGGATAGCCTACCAAGCGAGCTGAGGAACAGCAACGGTCTGTTTTTAGTGAACGACAATCAGTTGACAGGACAAATTCCAAGCTGGATCGGCCGCTCATCAGAAGTGGAAATAACCGAAATAACCTTCCCGTTTCTGATGGTGTTTGCAATCAACATAGAGGCATCCATCTGCAAAGCTAATGAGGAGGTTTTCATACTGCAGGGGATCCGCTTGGATGACTTTGAGCACCTTCCATTTGCAACCAGATGCCGAAGTTGGCACCTCCTGGTTCCAACTTAACAACATATACTCAGGTAAACAGTCCTTTGGCTATTGATCTCTCGCACAACAGCTTCACCGGAACAATCCCAGAGGAATTCGGTGGCATGCGAGACTTAAATGTGCTAAATCTCGCACACAACTTACTTACAGGGGCCATCCCTTCCACAATTGGAAACCTCAAGAACCTGGAGTGGCTAGATTTATCACAGAACTGGCTTGAATCACACATCCCGGACTCGCTTGGCAACCTCACCTTCCTGAAATACTTAAACATCTCGCACAACAAGATTCTCGGAAGGGTTCCACAGAGTGCTCAGCTTGCATTATTCCCAGTGAGCAGCTATGAAGGAAACCCAGGCCTTTGTGGCTTCCCCCTTGGAGAGTGTGCTGGTTTGCATAATCCTTTTCATGATGATCACACAGATGAAGACGATGATGACGGTCATAGTGATCAAACGATTCTGGCTGCCATTGTTGGTGGTGGTGTTTCATGCATCCTGTGGACCTCTTCAGTAAGAGATGGGAGGCACTGCTTAAACTTTTTATTATAATCTGATTTGTTGTTTAAGACTGGCAAGAAATTAATCCTAGGAGACGAATTGTCCAGTTGAATTCCAAATAAAACTGAAGTAAAAAGTTGCGGAGAATTTGTCATGCTTGTTCATGTAAGCATTGATTAGAGTGAAACGGCATTGCTTCTATGTGACGCTCAGCAAAATCCGACATGAATCTTTGCTCGCTTAGCTCCCAAAAAGGTGAAAACAAATTAATTAATTCATTGCTAACAAGTTTTCTTCCATCCATGGAAGCATTTCAATGGAGAAAGGTCAAGAGTATGACAAATAGATTGGAGAAGATCAGCATCATATGGTAAAGCTAGTAAACGTTTTAACAAGGATAGGCAGATTTGTGGAAACCTTCTACCCCTAACACCAATGTCGAGGATTCTCAACCCCAGTTCCCAGAGAGCAATCTTCTATAAAGGCAGTAAGTTTTTCCTGGTTATTAATCATTTGATCTTCTAATTCTTTCTTATTATTGTTAATTATTTTTCCGGCTAAGCAGCATCCAGCGTGATGATCCCGAGCTTGGTCCTTCGAAAGAAGTGGAACTCGACAGAGCTACTCATGAATTCATTGTAAAACATCAATGTACTTGCCCTCGTTCTTCTGGATCGTACTTTAATCGGGTGACTCCATTGCACACAATCTGACGCATTGACATCATCGTCCACAGTGACTGGAGATCCTCCGCTAACTAGAATCCAAGAGCTGATGATCGGCTTCCATCCTTAGTTCCATTGAAATCCTTTGTTCACCACCATCCAAGCCAATCCAGATCCCAATGGAAGTAGCTTCCAATGTCCGAGAGCTTATCAAGTGTTATGATCCGGCGCAAAAAGACAAAGATCTAGTTGCCCTAGACTATGCTACGCCACCTCTTGAGGTTCCTCACCACCCAGCCACCCCCGAGCTACCTCAAAAGCTCCATTGCGCCGCCGCTCCACTGTGAGCCCTAGGGTAGGTTAGTCCCCTACCCTAACATGCCTTAATATACCCTTGAGCCTCCCTTTGACCGACATTGACCACGTAGTCAAAGTTGGCGCCTAACAATTCTTCCCCCCCAACAAAGTCCTTGTCCCAAGGACGAGTGGTTCCGGTGATCACCCTTTCTGGGGAACCCTGCTCAAGCTCCTGATCCATCGTCCACAGCCGTATACATCAAGGAGGCATTGGGCTCGTCACTCCGAGATAGTACACCTTTCAACTAGCTGACATAAAATACCGGATGAATTTTCACCCCAGCTGGCAGCCACACCCGATAAGCCGCTTTACCAATGCGCTCCAGCACTTCATATGGACCAGCATATCGATGGGAGAGTTTATCACTCTTCCCTGTCCGTAAATGCACCAAGGTGTTCTGCCGCTCACTTGACGGAAAGACCACTCACACAAAGACGAGATCACCCACCTTATATTCCCGGAATTGGCGATGCTCATTGGCAAACTTCTCCGCTCTATCTTGAGCTGCTTGCAAATTCCGTTTGCACACCACCAGAATCTCATCAAGTTCGGTGGCCAGATCAGTTGCCTCGGAATCAAGCTTATCTTGAACGTCCTTACTCAAATGCAATCCCAACTCCACCGCTGTTCGAGGATGCCTTCCAAACATGGCAAAGTAAGGACTTAGCTTGGTTCCACTGTGTTGGCTATTGTTGTAAGCAAATTGCACCAACGGAAGATATAGATCCCACTGTCCTTGCCTTTGACCAATGCTACAACGTAGCATATCCTCCACCACTTGATTCACACGCTCAGTTTGCCCATCCGTCTGAGGATGATCTCCACTCGAGAGTTTCAAAGTCACTTGCATAGCCTTTGCAAAGCTTTTCCAAAATCCACTGGTGAACTTTGAATCTCGATCACTAATGATGTCCTCTGGCAAACCAAAATCAGGAAAAACCTTCTCCAAGTAAACCGCAGCCAAGTCTGAGGTAGTGACAGTCTTCCGAAGAGCCAACAACCGCACATACTTCGTCAACCGATCCACTATGACCCATACTTGCTCCTTTTGCCTCTGTGTTCGTGGCAAACAAGTGATGAAGTCCATAAAGATACTACACCAACGGCTCTGAGGAATAGGTAAAGGTTGCAAAAGTCCCCCTGGCTTCTCCCGTGGCACCTTAACCCGCTGACAAAGCTCGCATGATTTACAATACTTGAGGATATCAGCCTTCATATTCCTCCAATAAAAGTTGCGCTTAATCAACTCATACGTCTTCTTCCCCCCAAAATGACCGGCCTCTGGACGATCATGATAGTGGAATAAAACTTGAGTAATTAACGCATCCACCCGTGGCAAATAGACACGGCCATTGTAGTAGAGAATCCCATCCACCAATGAGAAAGGAGCTTCCATCTGGTCTCGCAAAGAGGCCACCTCAACATCCTGAGCCTGAGCATGCTCAACCAATTGCCCAAACTCGCTGACCACCTTACTCAAATGATGACAAAATCGTGTTCGTAACGTCGTCACATGACGAACATGAGATAAAGCATCCGCCACTACATTTGATTTTCCCGAACGATGCTCAATAGGAAACTCCCCAAACTCCATGAGTTTGACCATCCAATGAGCTTGCCTAGTGTTCAACTCCTTCTGTGTGAAAAGATACACAAGGGGTTTGTGATCTGTCAACACCACGAACACTGCACCATAAAGATAGTACTGCCACATCCGCAAAGCATGAACAATAGAGAGTAACTCTTGCTCATATGTGGATTAGCGTTGCTCCGCGGAATTCAAAGTTCGACTCTCATATGCAATAGGCTGTCCCTCTTGCATGAGAACTCCTCCTAGTGCATAACCACTCGCATCGCATGTCACCTCATAAGGTTTCGATGGATCAGCAATGCGAAGCACTGGAGCCTTGATCAACAATCGTTTCAGCGCCACAAAACTCTCCTCTTGTGGTGTCTTCCACTCGAATGGCACATTCTTGCGTAACAACCGCGTCAACGGAATAGCCACCTCTACAAACTTATGCTGGAAACGTCGGTAGTAACTAGCCATACCAAGAAAACTGAGCAACTCAGCCACTGTAGTCGGTGTAGGCCAGTTTTCCACCACAGCCACCTTCCTTGGATCCGTCTTGACACCCTTAGATGTCACAATATGGCCTAGATATTCCACCTCCGACTTTGCAAATTCACATTTGCTCTTCTTCACATAAAGTTTGCTGTCTCGAAGTAACAAAAGAACCTTGTGCAAATGCACCCTATGCTCCTCCATATTTTTGCTAAAAAAAAGAATATCGTCCAAGAAAATCTCCACAAACTCATGAAGATAACGCCCAAATACCTCCGTCATCAACCGAGTAAATGTGGCTAGTGCATTCGTCAAACCAAACGGCATAACAGTAAACTCAAAATGTCCGAAGCTTGTGTTGAATGCCGTCTTGGAGATAGATGCATCATCCATTGCAATCTGATGATATCCACTCCTCAGATCAATCTTGGTAAACACTCGTGCTTCACTAAGCTTGTCAAGGATATCATCCACACGTGGCATCGGCATCTTGTCCTTCACTGTCTTCTTGTTTAAAGCACGGTAGTCAATACACATCCGCATTGAACCGTCCTTCTTCTTCACAAGCAAGACCGGAGCACCAAACGGAGACTTACTTGGCTGAATAAATCCAAACTCAAGTAACTCCTTGACTTGTCGTTGAACTTCTTGCTCCTCCACATAACTTAACCGAAATGGACGCCGGTAAATTGGTCGCGTCCCCGGCTCCAATGTAATCCCATGCTTCACACCTCGTAATGGAGGCAATCCATGAGGAAGTTCAGATGGAAAAACATCAGAAAACTCGTCTAGTACATCCCGTATTGCTGCTTCACCCCCACACATGCCTTGGTCCCCCAAGTCACGAACAAACAGCAAGTAACTCGAATGTGCTTTTCCATTACGACAAGCCCGCTTCAAAGATGTAGCAGAGAGCATAACAACTGGGGGTTGAACGCCCTCGCCAAACCACACATCTTTAACACCACCATACTCCAGCGAGATACGCTTAATGCTCCACTTTATCTCTGGATCCACCTTCACCAACCATGGCATCCCAAGAATGAGATCCACACAATGGATATCTGCGAGATAAAAAAGTCTCCACAAGTGTGGTTTTGCCAACCAACACTTCCAGCCCCTCGATACAAGCATCGAAATGCTGAGCAGAGGTAGCTGCACCTTCCACTGTGTATGGAAGAACTCCACGTGTGTTCAGGCGATGCTCCGCAACAAACTTTGCCGAAACAAAGTTGTCATCGCTCCCACTATCCAATAAAATCTGCACTGGATCGCACGGAACACGCCCTCCAGCATTAAAGCTGATTCACGCGTATCCTCGAGCTCCATCTTGTTCCACACACAGTTGAGTTGACGAGCAACGATCGAAAGTCTCTTCCTCCGACCAGAATGGTCGTTCTCGTCATCCTCACGCTGTAAAGCTTGCAACTTTTTAGTATCTGACTTACCGTGAGAAGATGATTGACCATTCTTCTTGTCCTGCTGCTTGTTCTTCAACTGCGGACAATCAGCCTTGTAGTGTCCAAGTTCGCCGCAATGATGACAACCCTGTCTATAATTCTTCACAAAGAACTTTTGCTTCTTGGACCCCTTTGCATCTGAAGTAGTCACCACTGACTTCAACTTGTGATACTTGTTCCCATCCTTGTGTCCACGGCGATCATCACGACGATTCTCGATAGAAGGACTCCGCGACCGCTTGCGAGACTTGTGCTTGTCATTGTCAAGTCGACGAGCCGCATCAAAGAGCTCCTCCAAACTCTTTGTAGGATGAGAATGACGCAAGTGTTGCCGCATGCTCTCACTATATAGGCCATCAATGAAGTAGGACTTGTTCTGATCTGGATCCTTCATTGGAACACGACTAATCAAGTGAGTAAGCTTCTCAATATAGTCCCCGAGCATCATTTTCCCTTGCTGGAAATGGCGAAGTTCTGTACGAGCATTCTCCACATCGTAATGAGGGGCAAAACGTAAACGGAAAGCAGCCTCAAACTCATCCATGGTAGACACTAGTGGTTTCTTATCCGCAACACGGGACTCCTCAAGCCAATTCCACCATCGAAGACCTGCATCACGCAAAACCATCGGAATAGCCACTAAAGCCTCTGCATCTAGAGTTCCTCTAGCAGCCAAGAACTTCTTCACATTGGCTAGCCAAGCAAGACACTCATCCACACCACCATCACCGGAAAAGGTTGGAATCTTGAGTCGATCTACCAAAGAAGGCTTACTTGGAGTGCTACCCCGTCCAGCCTCGAGTGCCTCAACACGCCCACACATGGTATCCATCATGCCATGCATCTCGTCTTGCATCTCTTGCTGATTTTTATTAAGGGCTCGCAGCTCATGAACCACATCTTGAATGGTCCAAATCTCCGCAGCTTCGTCGGCACCATCGTCAGCACCACCATCGACAATAGGATTCCAGTGTTCAGCTTGGTCGGCCATCGCAACCAATCCTCTGATACCAATGTTATGATCCGGCGCAAAAAAACTAAGATCTAGTTGCCCTAAACTATGCTACGCCACCTCTTGAGGTTCCTCACCACCCAACCACCCCCGAGCTACCTCAAAAGCTCCACTGCGCCGCCGCTCCACTGTGAGCCCTAGGGTAGGTTAGTCCCCTACCCTAACATGCCTTAATATACCCTTGAGCCTCCCTTTGACCGACGTTGACCACGTAGTCAAAGCTGGCGCCTAACATCAAGCCTGCAACTTCTCTCCACCACCACGACCGTCCATACTTCTCAGCTGCCTCGACCAGATTGCTCCTCGGGTCTACATGCCTTTCCTCTACTTCATTGCACGATTCAGCCCTTCCAACCAGCTCAAGCTATCCCTCTCCAAGACGCTCTCCCTCTTCTACCCGCTAGCCGGCCGCTACAAGCTTCTTCCCAATCAGGCCCTCAAGATCCAGTGTTGCGACTCCGGCATCGAGTTCTTTGCCGGTCTAAACCCTAAACGCCAGCAAATCTCTAGAAGAAGAACTCGGCAGCTTCCACGAGTTTAATCCCAGCCTCGACAGCCTAGCGTCGCGCGAGGCCTTCCCAACGCAAGAAGCCACGGAACTTCCTCTTGTCTATCAAGCTCACTCGGTTCCTGTGCCTCCAAGTAGCGACTCACCACAGCGCAGCCGATGGAGTTGCCACGGCCGATTTCGTGAAAGCCTGGGCGCTGATTTCCTCCGGCCAGGAGCATCGCGTCAATCCGCCACACTTGGAACGATCCCTGCTCCTGCAACCTGACGCAATTCCACCGGAATCCACTCCAGCGGAGTACCAGATTGAGCCTCCGCCCTTCCCCGACCCCAGCAATGTGGAGCGTGCAATCCTCTCCTTCACGAGCAGCGGCATTCGGTCGCTGCTAAAGAGCGACACCACCGCGACTCGATTCGAAATACTGGCGGCTCACCTCTGGATCGCGATCACCCGCGCCAGAACCGAGCTCTCGCTTCTTCAACTGCATGAGGAAACGAGGCTAGGCTTCGTGGTGAATGGGAGAAAACGTTTCAATCCTCCAATTCCCGATGGCAATGCGGTCTTTCTTGCAATCGCATCCTCCAGCGTCGAGCAACTTCTGGCAGGATCGATCGACGGCGCTGTTAATCTCATCCAAGAAGCCAAGTGCAGGATCACGCACCAACACATGCTATCCACAGCCGCCTGGATTGCATCGAGGAAGTGCCCGCTAAAGATTTCGCTCTCCTTCAAGCCCTCGGATCTCGTGATCTCGAGCTGGCAGCGATTGGAGATGGCTGGCGCGGATTTCGGAAGCGGCAAGCCGGTATTCGCTGGAACCATGGGAATTGTGTGGGCTGGAGTGGCCATCATTTTGCCCGAGATCGAGGGAAACGATCGACTTGTCGTCAACACGATGCTTGAGCGCGGTCAAATGGATGTCGTTCGCAGAGATCCTGGGCTCATAATTTAGGGCAACTAAAGCATATTCGCCTTCATTGACACAGAGTCAATTCTGCTTAGATGATTAGCGAAAGATGCGACGTTGGCAACCAGCCATTTTAGATTCAACTTTGATCTTTGTTTATATATCAATAAACGTTTTACAATTCTTTTTTTACATTTCAACTCCCTCGTTTGCCTTTTCGTCCCAACTTGTTTTCGTTGCACAGTTGTTCTCGGCAGCCACCAAAAATGTTTTCCAGCCATAGACATAAGAGATGTTGATGTCCGGAGAATAAAAAAAAGAAAAGCGCAAGCAAATGAAGTTAGTAATGGTGAAAAGGAAATACGAACTAGCAAGTAAAGCTTTAGTGCTGGCATTTGCATTTAAGCCGCTTGAACTCTCTTCATGACCAAGTCGTTCTCAAGGCCAGGAGCACTCCTTTTCACACCACTCCTTCACAGCTTGTCGATCTTACTGCTGCAATTTTTGACAAATCCATGGGTGTTGCAGAACCTGACTGGTCCTTGCTTGTTTGCAGCGGAGGATCTCATTTCTAAGATGTTGGCCGTGGATCCGAAAACAGAGGTCGCTCCCTGTCACATGAGATCAAATGCTTCCATCGGCTGGTATCCAGCATCTTGTATAAAATTGCTCCTAGCCCCCACACGTCGATGGCTGCCATGTAGAGCTCCAATCCCTGTTGTCCACCACCTCAGCTGCCATGTACTTCACTGTGCAATAGTTCTGTGATATCTCCTCGGGGTTATCTGTGGCAATGCCAAAGTTGCTGATCACCACTTTGTCGTGCACGTTTAGCTTGGAAAGAATGCTTGAGATCCTGGTGAACCACGCCCCTCAAATGCATCTCTTTTGAGGGTCTTTACCAGCTGCTTGATGATTCTGGCTGCTTTCTCTTCAACCATCTTCTCGCAAATATGCAATACTTAAAAGACCACGAAATAATTTACCAAGTTTGGGATAAAGCCTTAAGAAAGGAAGGCAATATTTCCAGCAACCACTCGAGGAAAAATGCCCGTGTGCTGTGCAAAAGGAGACTTGGACAACACCGCAAAGTCGGCAAACTTTCCTGGCGTCAGTGACCCAACCAGATCCTCCAATGCAGCTGCATACGCAGCCGAGGATGTGTACCTGTGAATCCAAAAACAAGGACTTCATTTCAGTTTCTCATCTGTTTTCTCTTACCCCACCACTGCGTCCCATGCAGAAACCCTTTCCTCGGGAATCCAGGGATGACTCCAGCCTGAAGGTGTTCTCTCCACGGCTGCGCGGATCCCTCCAAGTGGATTCACTGCTACCACCTTGAGACAAATCATTCACGTAACGCCAAAGAAAAAGTATTTGACAGACTTACAGCAACCACGCTACCGTTTCCGAGGAGGGACCGGAGGTTATAAGATCCGCGTGAGTGCTTCTCACCAAGTTTCTTTACGGCGTAGTAAGCATCATCTAGAAGTTGCTCTGGCTGTGCAAAAATCCAGGGTTTTGCAATGGAGGCATCATGCATTCATCTGCTTACTTGCATCGACGCAGATATCAAGAACTTCCCAAATTTGAGGTGTGCTCCAGGTGAAAGGTGTTGTGCATGCTCTACCTGCAATCCCACGAGTTAAGCGATACAAACGTAGATTTGTTCATCGTTACTCTCAATCGATGTCCTTGACGAGGATGTTTAGAGATAGCGTCAGCGTAAATTCCAAGCACATCATCGTTTGCTGCATCGCCAATCGCATGTACTGCTACCTGAAGTTCATGATTAAGCATTGGATCAAGGATCATGGAAGTACCTGTAATTTCGACTCAAAAGCAGCACTCACGGACTCGGAAAGCCAACTCAGATCGGCCACACGGAGGCCAAAATTGTTCGGATCGTCTTCGTAGTGCTGCGCCAGAAACTTTAATACCTCAGAAAAGCTACTTAATATTTACGTGACACCTGGTGAAAGAGAGCTGTTCCCGAGCCCAGCGATCCATCGGCAAAAGCTTTGACCCACCAATGTGAACCCAGTCGCTTATATGCCGTCCTCGCTCTTTTATCAGAGCCTGAAGAACAAATTCAAGTATCGTATAGTAAAATGCGACTCGCGGCCAAGTCTCGAGTGGGAAGAAAAGTGCAGACCTCACAGTCATATTCCCGAGAGAGTCCATCCATGTGTATACCTCTAGAGGAAGAATTTAGACGAGGAACATGATGTTTAAAATTGAATTACCTTCAAAATCGTTCTTGATTGATCCACCAGGAAAGTATGATCCGATATCAACTACTGAGGTGACGCCTTTAGAGACAGCATAATGGCTTGCTCTTGCCAGAGCTTCTCTACGTTGCTCCAATGACGGTTTAGGAACACAAGAAGTTAACAATATCATAGCAGCATCAACGAGTAAACCAGTTGGAACTACAAAGAAGGATGTTAGAACCAACTTCTCTATAATTCAGATAGGAGAAAAAAACTGACCACCATCTGCATCTCTTACAATGCTCCCACCAGTTGGATCTTCTTTAACGCTCTTCAAATCACAAATATCCATGGCAACTTTATTTGCAAGGCCCATGTGACCGTCCATCCTGCTCTGTGTGATACTATGAACGTCAGGTTTTTAGAACCTCAAAACTACAACAAAAACTCACCGGATTGTTTTCTGTGACACTATCAATCCAGGATGAATCTGGCCACTCACCTCCCCAGTGTTCGTTGCTCCATCCGAATCCTTGAAGCCACTCATTTGGCTCGAGCCCTTCAAAAGAAGCGATGAATATTATACACTCATGAAGAAACAAATTCAAGAGCACCATGAGCAGCATGTTGAACTTTTTGTGTGAACTCTAGACGTGTGTGTACATCATGAAAATCCAATCTTACTAGCTGCAGGTAAGACGTTAATTTCCCTTGTTGTTTAAACTTAACATACCTGCAGGCCTCCAGGAATAAAGTGAACATGAGAATCAATGAAACCAGGCACCACAAACTGCCCCTCGAGATCACGGAATTCGGTATCAGAACCGGCAACCTCGTACAAGCATGAAATTTTGTGAAAAATATCTGTAACAAAGAAAACAAACGCTTACCTTGACAAGTGAGAGAGAACCCACGCGAAGGATTCTTCCCCGTCTCACAGCCATCGATTCTGCCCATGGAACATCCTTGTCTGCAGTCCAGATACTGCAGTTCGTGATGACAAAATCAGCCGGTGCTCCTGGATTTCGTTTCCAAGATAGAAGAGCTGCTACGGCTAGGGACAGCAGCACTATCCCAAGTGAAGTTGCTAACGAACCCATCACGACTGTCTAGGGCCAGTTAGCTTTAACATTTAAAACACATGCAAAGGAGACCCGATTCGATAAAATGTACTCGAAAGGATACCTGAGAAGCGCCTTGTTTCAAAATTGATTTACAAAAGCCCATCGTCACTGAAGCTTACATCCCAGAAATTTCTCCATGACACTGTCCAAAGCCTGAGACAAAAGCACCGTTTAACAGCAGCGAAATAGCTTCAGAATCTTTACCTTTGATGCGAACGCTTCCTTCCTATCGAGGAGCGCAGTCATTGCGACACTGGAGTCGTCCAAAACACTGTAAAAGCGCTTGTAGAACTCTGCTCTGTTAAAACCAAAGCCATAACCACGTAAAATCAACAGCATCCTAAAACTTGCTTACTGTGATGCTTCAGAAGCAATCGAGTCCATCTCTTCGAACTGTTTTGTCAAAAGTTCTGCAGCAACAGGACTGAGAGCATGCAATACGAGTGCTTCTAGTGAACGAGGAAATGTAGTCTGCAAATGCACAACTTGGTAACGACAAACATAGCATACAGTGCCTGCACTTACCACCATGGTAAGAAAGATTCGACGAAGGCTTCGAGGGCTCGTATTTAGAAACACACTTGCGATAGGATCGTCCTCACAATTGCCATTGTTCACTGCGACCGCTACGCAGGATAGTATGACGTGAAGTTGTTTTGTTTCTAGTGGACTCAAGCTGTTCACGGTAAGATCTTCTGCTCCTTGCACGTCATCAAGATCACTTTCTACATCCACGTGAGGATTCCATCCGAGCATCGATCTCTGTAGAACAATATAAGTAAATTGCATTGGAAATTGTTGCTTGTTGACCTTTTCGGCGTCCAAAAGACTGGAAAACAAAAGAAGCTGTTAAAAAGCCAAGAGCAACATTTGCTAACCTCACTAAAATCCTCCGCAAATAATATGCATCCATGGGCGTGTCGAATGCGCAAGATTGTTTAGACGCCCACCAAAAGTTTACGGCAATGGTTAGAGCAGCACTGTCCACTTGGTGGAACCAACCCTCTGGTATAAAAACTGCACTGCCAGCATCGACTACGAGAACCCGACTGTCTTTTAATGCATCTCTAAAGCGTGGAAATTTTTGGTAGTCTGGTTCTACAAAGTTCACCTCGCTGCATAGAAACAAGAATAAAAGAAGTGTATCTTTTTCTATAAAAACAAATACCTATGGTTCGAAGCTTCTCCATACAGTGGCTTGGGGTACAGATATGGCGCCGCATCAGGAGGCCACAGGGTAACTGCAACAAATACAACACTGAAAAATGCCACGCATGAAAAAGCTCTACCTTCTTCTGACCCGTCACGACTCCAAGAACATTGTGGTATGGATCATAATGTATGCTTGATCGAGAAGACGTCGAACTCATCCAAAGGTTGATGTTTGAGACCGCATCCTCGTCCAGGAACTCTGGCTGAGCATGGTAAGTGTCACAAAAAAATAAAAAAGTAGGCGAAGAATATATGATACCAGGGATATCTCGGATTCCAGAGAAGCGAGCGGAGGTTTCTCGGTTGAGTCTTTCACGCGTATAGGAACCTGCAGTGATATCCTTAATATCGGCAACACAGGCAACAAGAGTAAATCTTAACCTGTGCCAGATAAAAGTGATCGTTGTGCTCTCCAGGTGACAAAACCATGTCTAGATATTCTCTAAAAGGCAACGCTACCTAGGAACCAGTTTAAGAACAAAAGAAAAGAAGGAATCAAAGAAAAAATACAAACTCTTTCATGGCTTCTAATATCACCGAAGAACGTAGAGCCATCGCTGCTCACCATTGCTTGCACTAGAGGTTCTCCTGCGATTTCCTTGAGAAGCGGTCTAATCCCTGCTCTAGGACACGAAAATTCTCACCTTAAGATGCTCGACACCGCCAGTGGCTGGATTCCACCGCTCAAATGCGGGCCATTGCCGCAGAATCCCTGGAAAAACCTGCCAGAAGCTCTAGCAATCGAAACAAATCGACGCGCCTTGGCTTACCTCGGGAATGTTTCGAGCTTCCATCTCCCGGAATTCGTCCCTCGACGGTGGGCGCCAATTTTCCTCCATAGCCAAACGTTCAAATGAAGAACCCTAGCTAGGACGTAAGTGGATTTTGAGCTAGTGTATGCGGCAATGCCAGCGCCTGTCCGATCGCTATGGCGAATGCGGCAGCGTCGGCGAGGCGCGCGAGATCTTCGATGGCATGGACGATCACAGCAAGAACAGGTTCTCCTGCATCGCGATGCTCACCGTCTACGCGCACAACGGCAGGCCTTTGGACTCCAAGAATCTCTTCGATCGCATCCCCGGTGGCAGAGATTCCGTGGCGTGGAGTTGCCTCATCGGCGCATTTGTTCAAGATCGGGGATCTTGAGCACGCAATGCACGTCTTCGATCCCCTCCCGCGCTGGACCGTCGTCACATCCACGGCATTCTCGTGGCGCTGGCGAAGCGTGGCAAGGCCGAGGACGCCAGAGCGATGTTCTTGGCGATGCCGGAGAGAGATTTCGTCGCGTGGAACGCGATAATCACCGCATATGCCCGGAATGGGAATCTCCAGGTAGCGCTGGCGATGTTCTTCCGGATGCCGGCTAGGAACTTCATCTCCTAGAACGCGATCTTCGATGGTTGGGATGAAGCACTGGCCAAGAAGGTCTTCGATTCGATGCCCCAGCGAGAGGTGGTGTCATGAGCGGGCGTTTGGAGGAAGCGCGAGCTGCCGGCCTTGAACATCGTCTGGTGGAACCTGATGATCCAGGCGTTCGCGAACAATCTCCTGGTTGACGAAGCCAAGGAGCGCTTCAATCGAGCGAGCACGACTTCGTGTCATGCACGGCCTACGCGCAGACCAGCCAGATCTTCCTCGCGAGAGCAGCCGTCGATTGAATTCCCCAGCGCCAGTCGTATCCCCAAGCATGGATCACGCGGACTCTTCCACCACTTTGAGAAGTTCCCGAATGATCTCAAGATATGCTTGGGTTGTTAGATTAACAGTGATCAATAGCCATTCTCGATTTAACTCCACTTTTGATCCTTGTTTATATATGGATAGACTTTTTTCAATTCTTTCTTGAGGGGAGAAACATTCAACTTCCCTTGTTTCTTAAAGAAGAGCGGCATAGCTTTGTGTGTAACATCTATCTCGTTTGCATCTACCTCGGCATTTGCTTGGATCTCGTTTTTGTTCCACGATTGTTCTCGACAGCCACCAAAAAGGTATTTCCAGACAGAGACACGAGAGATGTCGATGATGTCCGGAGGATACAAAAGCGAACCTGAAGTTAGGAACTGCGACTAGGAGAAAGAGGAAATGGCAAGTGTGCTTACCGGACTGACTGCTGGCACTTTTAAGCCGCTCGAACTTTCTTCACGACCAAGTCCTTGTCGAGGCCAGGAGCACTCCTTTTCGCACCACAGGGCCTCCTCCACGTCCTGTAGATCTTACTGCTGCTGCTTCTGCAAAGCTTGACAATCCATGGGTGTTGTAGAACCTGATCGACTGTCAGCCTTTGTTTCGGATCCACAGCCAGCATCTTGGCAAGGAGATCCTCCGCTATAAACGAGAAAGGACCAACCGGGGATGCCCCCTGTCGCACGCGATCAAATGCTTCACTCGGCTGATATCCTCCCTTTCCCAGCATCTCGTATAAAATCGCTCCAAGTCCCCACACGTCGATAGCTGCTGTGTAGAAGCTCCCATCCTTGTTCTCTGCCACCTCGGGTGCCATGTACTTCCCCGTGCCACAGTACTGCGACATCTCCTCAGGGTCGTCTGTGGCCATACCAAAGTCACTAATCACCACTTTGTCGCGCGCGTCTAGCTTGAAAAGTATGTTGCCCGGCTTGAGATCCCGGTGAACTATGCCTCTCGAATGCATCTCCTTGAGGGTCTCTGCCAGCTGCTTGATAATCTGAGCTGCTTCTTCTTCGCTCATCTGCCCGGAAGCGCGCAAGCGATCAGCAAGACTAGATCCACATAGTTCCATAATAATACTCCCAAAACATTGTCCTCCATCTCTCTCCTTGATGAAATCTCTAAAGGAGACAACTCCAGGGCAGCCCCGGAGCTTGGCCATGATCCCAACTTCTCTCTCTCGCTCCCTGATCGAAATGCCTTGGCTGCATATGAGTTGTGACCGTCCAGATTGTGGAGCACGAATACATGCCCCTGGCCGCCACACCCCAGCGTCCTACCTTTCTTGAAACCTCACTGCCCCAACATATGAATACTGAGAAGCTCTTTGCAATCTTCCTCCCTAAACTCACTTACCACTGCCATCGCTCTTCTCTCTCTCACAAGTTTAATAAAAAAAACCCTAGCTTCTTCTAACGAATTTAATTGATACTGTATATTAATATTAACAGCCGTACACTAATATTAACATAATGGCATTTTGATAACTGTTAAATTGGTTTTAATTTGGATTGTTTACTTTTGATATAAATTAGGGTTTTTAAGCTGATTAATATGCACATTTTGTATTTTATTTCCATATTCCATAAATTCATATTGGTGGAGAGGAGAATGCTTAGATTTGGGATTTTAGTTTAAATCTAACTTTTGAATCATCTATATCTCACTTTCTTTATAACTTTTCTAACTTATTCTCTTTTATTTTTTCTTTTTCATTTATCTTCATGGCAGAGTATCCTCCTTTAACTTTGGAGCAATAGTTAGTGCAATTATATTATATGGTTGCAATTGAATAATTAAACCTAGTTGATAGTAATATTCACAACATATGATAACTCCTTTTGTTTTTTTTGCCAATACTTGCATCTGGCCAAAGTTCTTCCATGGGAATCTTGGGATAATATGTACCATTGATTTGATCACTTTACAATGATTGCTATATATCATTTTTGGGATGATATTTAATATTTATTTGAGTTTCTCACGTGTCTCTAAGGGCTAATGCTATAGTGGTATAATAGTTTGAGTGCAGCCACTTATATAGATTAAAGTATTCTCCTGAAAGTCTTCAAACATGTATTTGGACATGCTAATGATTGTGATAATGCCTTTTATTGATTGCATTGTTTTTATCAAAGTTATTTGAATCAGTCATGCAATGTGGTATTCATTTTTGGAGCTTTTTGCTTCATGCAAAGCCAAATATATCAAAGTGAATTGAGCCTTTTACTTCGTGAGGAGCCAAATATATCATTTAGACATGCCGATGCTTATAATGATGCCTTCTATTGATTGGATTATTGTAAACCACAAATTTTTCCTTTTCAATTTACTAGATTACTTTGTTTATCTGACCACCACTGCCTTGGCCTTAGTTAAGTTCCTTTATTAAGGTTCCTGTCTATAATACCAACTCCTACTTGGTCTTACTTAGTCTTAATTATTTATTGCATGAGCAACAAAGTGTTAGCTATCTATCCATAAGTTCTCAAATTCTCTCCCAATCCCTTTTCCTAAGTTAAATTACACTTAAAGTTTAATTACACTCCTTACAAGCATAAGCAGCCAAACATACTAAGCCTCTAGATTTTTAACATCCCTTGATACACAAAACTTGATCATAGGACCTTCTAAATCCTAAACCTTAAATGCATCATTTGCTTTGGGATCTCAAGGGTAAACACCATGGCCTAATGGCCTAGTATAGGTACCCTTACTCCCCCACTTCCATCCAAAAGGGAAGGCCCAAGCTTTTAGAAAAGAGTGAGGACCAATTTACCATATGGTATTTATATGGGGCACCACTCCATATGAGCTAGAAGCACTGCAATTGGTTTGCTTTCCAGGAGTGAGTCTACATTGACGACATTTTGATCTATATAGCAAGACGCTAAAGGAGTATACCAAACACTTGATGAAGGTGTTTGAGTTGCCAGAAGTGGGGGTTGCTCTTGAGCACTTCCTTGGATGGCCTCTTTGACACCACCTAAGTTCATGCTTATTTTCACCTAAAGCACTTAACCCTCAGTCTCAACTTTAAGTCAATTCGGAAGCACCTGTAGCACATGTGATCATGAGATGAGATTTAGTATATTATCACCATGGATCCTTGAAACCTTGGGGGATAAATGGGGATAAAATAGCCACTAAAGGCTCTCTCATCAAGCAATTGCCCCTTTTTCAATTGGTTTAAGGGGAGAGAGATAAAGTGTGTTACATGTGGTATTAGAGCAAATGGCACATGTATGATTAATGGGTACTTAAAAATATAATATACCCTTAAAAAAAGTATATTCCTACTATATTTTGGAACTCCCCCCCGCCCTCCCATCCTCCCCTAAGGAGATGATCGCTTTGGGCTTTCACCCCACAACCTATATTAGTATTTGAACTTGATTTTGAACTCAATCTTGGACACAATTTCAAACCCGACCTCAGACTCGATCTTAAACTCGATCTCAAATTCAGTTTTAGACCCAATCTTGGATCTCAGACTTAGTCTCGAACTTGGTCTTGGACTCGGTCTTGAACTTGGTATCGGACTCAATCTCAGACTCGGTCTTAAACTCGATTTTGGTCAGTCTTCGACTTGATCTTAGATTCGGTCTTATTTAATAAACTCTTTATCATTCCGATTATAGTTTCAAGGATCTTTTAAGTGTACGACACCTCGGAGAGTTGGTTCCTTACAATTATCATTTCTAAATATATTAGAGTGAATTAAGTTGAGAATGTTATGGCTAACATTTTGTCAATATCTTATAAGACTTGTGTATGCACTTGCTCTAGCACTTTTGATAATACTTTTTGCTTGGCATAACATTATGAGACATTGCCTCTTCCACTCGTTACACATTCTTCAGCCATAACATTTAATAGGTTGATACTCCAGAAATTATACATATGTAATGGTTAAAACACTATGTATAAAGGAATCAAGAACCATTAGTACCACGTACAAATCCACTAGTGCCTCTTTTTAATATTCCTCCTGATGTTCTTCTAAATCCCAACCCATCAACCAAAGAAACTTAACTACTTTCCATCCTTTTGAGAGGAGGGAATGATGTGAGGTCCAAATATACATACTAATATTAACAATTATATATTATAGTAGCCATTGGATTAGTTTCAATCCAAATCACTCGTATATATAAATTAGGGGTTTTGGGCTAATTAATATGCATATTTCTATATTCCATTTTTATATTCTATAGTTGTATTTAAATATATAAAAAATTATATACAACAATATATTATTCTTTGCATCATTATTATAAATTATTGATGATGGTATGATTATGAGTGAAGAGTTATATTGGATTGCTTCAACATTTTCCATGATTTTTGCAATGAAGTTAAAGCTATAACTCAAAATATTCAAATTATTAGGAACTCATCATCAAAATAATTTGCTGCGCATTGCATGCAACAACACTTGGTTTTAGTAGTGTTATTCTTATTTATTAATCTAACTGATGAAATGGAACTTTATATTATGAACATGTTTATAATTTATAAACATAAGAATAATATTTTTGAATATCAACCATTAAATGGTAGAATAAAGTAAAATATACTAGAAAATGTTTAGAAAACTTTATAAATTTTCTACCACAAGAAAATTCTACAAGATTAATCTAAATGAGTAACAACCATTAGATGGTAAAATATATCCTAGAATATTCAAGATATTCTAGGTATATCCACTACCATCCCAAACCAAAAAGTGGTAATGACAAAAACAAGACAAAAGAAAATAAGAAAAATCATTTATAAATAAAAATATTTTGTGTTTGAAACTAACCTTAAGTTAACATAAGGACCTAATCTAGGTGTGGATTGTAGATGCTTATTTGAACCAGTGGTCACAAATATACTCTAATGAATAATAAGAGACTTCCCATTTTTTTGACTATTTAAACATATTTTTCCCCATTAAAAATTCACACCTGTTACAATGGAGCCTAGAATTGGTTGTGAGAACACTAAATTGCTCTTCTCACTACATTTGAGAACCTGATAATTGGGTAAATTCTTGAAACACCATATAAACTCAAGAGCTTCCTTGTATTCCAGAACTCTGAAGCTAAAAAATACATTCTCCCAACACCTTCAAAAATCATTCCTTCAAAAAACCAAAACTAGAATAATAGGTTACTTTTATCTCTAGTGCTGAGATCCTCCACAAACTATGTCCCTAGAATTGCCTTTGCATGCCTTCCAAGGGCAACGTCTTATCATTGAACGATTGAACACCACCTCCAAAACCATTGCCTATTGTCGCATTACATGCCTCCATGGCTTTTCGTGTAAATACAATATATATTATGGAAACTTTCAATTGTCATCAATTGTAATTTGTTAGCGAAGATCAATCCTTCTGCAATAAACAAACAAAAAATATTTCACCATGGAGTGGACAAAACCTGACACTTAGCCGAGCAGGAGGTATAAGGCCGATGGAACTCTGCTTGGAGTCCAGCAGCAGCAGTGGCGACCATGTCTGGCTTGAGATCCTGTAGACACACAGCTCGAGGAGACCGAGGACTACCACAGGCACCCGCACAAATAAACCGCTCCTGGGACGATCTCCCGAGGAAACAGCCCTGGATCACTCAGTGGCATTGCCCAACGTCTCGTCCAATAGCATAAATGCTGGGGTTGTCATCACTCCTCCACTGCCACCTTTTCACGTTTGCATGCATGGGAGGAGGATTCACCAAAGACAACCGACAGGGGAAATATGTGAAGTAGGCAAACTGGCATGTCACTGACCATGAATCCCAGCGGCAGGCTCTTCCATCGCGCAGCCCCGATCGAGGAAGTTAACAAACTTGAGTGAGTACTCCTCCCCTGCCGAGCTCCTCCTGGCAATTAAAACAATGTGGCTTCCATCGCTGCAAAACCCAAGCTTGGGAAACGATGCCAGTATCTGATTTTGGCCAGCTCCAATGCCTCCAGCTCTCCCGCTACTGCCGCACAACAGCGACGCGAACAGCAATCGTAAACGAGGACTCGAGCCATAGACCACCCAAAAGTTTGAGTCTAGGAACGCCTAGAATATGGCAATGAAAGCACTCGATCTCACAACCCAGTCCTTTGGTGGAAGTCGAGTCCAGTGGCGAGTGAGGGGATTGGTGACGATCAGCTTGTCTCGCCTGGTCTCCACTAGGAGCAAGCCCGCTGAAGTTGCCGCCCGCACGTGGAAGAGCTCCTCGGGAGGTAGCTAGAGATCTTGTTGCCATAAAAGTTGAGGGAGATCACGGCTGGTGCCAGGATTTGAAGGCGAGCTTGGCGGCCTGGAGAGGGAAGTGATCGAGAAGCTTGAGCAGCA